TAACACAAAGTTCAGTCACACATGTCTGTTTGGCGTGTTTTTTTGATACTTATTAAGGTGAAATATGACATTCTTTGCTTTATTTTATTGCAGTTTCTGCATTTTTTTGAGCAATAATAATTACATTTGTCACAAATAAAGTTCCTTGCCCTTTTGCGAAAATATTAAAAATATGGGACAAGGTGAGAAATTTTATTTAATAATAATATAGTCAACTCGTGAGCATTACAAATTTTTTTTAATTGCAAATATTTGCTGTCCTCATCAATCATGTAAAATATTTGCATTGTCAAAATTTACGATTTTTTTTAAAGCAATTGACCGAGTAAAACAATTTTAATAAGGCGGAGAAACTAAAATTGCTTTTTGATTTGTTGAGTCATTTTGAAGTCAAATAGGAATTGAGTTTTAAAATGTGTAAAGTTGACTGTCTACTGCTGGTTTTGGTACTGGATCAAGTTTAAAGGCTGCTCTTTAATAATGTTGATCAATAAATTGATGTAATACTATGTGTCCTAGTCCATAGTTGAACCAAACCTAGCAAGCAGTACGTCAAATTTTCGACCTTCTCGACACAATTTATCTTACACTAGTGTTAAGATCATGAGCACTATTGCAAATTCATACTTGATCCTAAATTCAATGAGCTCATTCAAAATGAAATTGAACAATACGACTCAAGTTCCTAAACTGTAGCTACTCAAAATATGCCATAACCCAGTAAACTCAATAACATAATAACTATCTTATTCGCATCAATCATCCACAAAGAACTACGTGAATCACAGAACCTTTGTACTTTTTGTGTCACTAGTTTCTTTTATTGCACTTTTTTGACGACTCGAAAAAAATGATTTTTTTACGATCGACTGTATAATAGCCACAAAGTAAAAAGGGGGAATATCGTAAGGAATATTGCAGGTCATTATCCTCATAAAGAAGAAAGAAAGAAAGTTGAGGAAGAGAAGTAATTTTAAGTAAAACAGTAAACAGAAAGTGCATACTGTAAAAAAATATATGAATGAATCTGAATTTATCACTTACAGGTGAGTGAGTCACAAAAGTGTAAAATTAATTATCATCAAGAGGCATAAGTTAAGTGAGCGTGAGGAGAGAAGATCTATGTCACACGTACCATAAATTATGAAAAAAAAAATTCTATTATTTGTCGTTATCATAAATCAATTTGTATTGTGTTAATTTTTCAACAAGTTCTCATCATATTTTCTCGATTCTTAGAGTTGGATTGTGGGTCGTTCAGATATGATGTCTGTTAAAAAAATTGTCTGAGGTTCTGTTTTTTTTAAAATATTCGAACTTAGGGATAAGTTGTTATGTTTAATCTTAGGTCACTTACTATGCTTGGAGCCATGGTTTCTCAAACTATGCAATGGAAAGCATTCAAGATGACAACATCATGTTGTTCTGACTAAGTTAAGTGAGTCTAAAAGAGTATACATTAGTATTCTTGGTGATTTGCAATCTCTTAAATCTCTTCTTTTCATTCTGATTGGCACAACACAGTAATTACAGCATGGTTTCGTTACTATATTGGCACAAGACTGTCAAATTTCTAAAAGATACCCTGACAGAACTGTTATATCTGTTAATTCTCAACCCTCAATCCAAAAATTCTGATCATACTAGGTTACTGGTACTTTGTTAAAATTGAAACATTGAAAGCCTTGCTGACTGGTTCTAGGTAATCTCAAGCATGCAACTTTCTTACTTACTACGTTGGCCGTCCATATCAATTGTGATCCATGGTCTCCCTTAGATGGCGCTTGAAGCTGGCTCTATCGCTGGCTACCCGTTTGCCAATTTTCAATACCAAATGCAATACTGTCTCTGTCAATAGCTTCTTTCCATGCATGCAACATTTTACCCAAAATCAAATCTCCCCTCCCAAATATCACACCTCATGTGTTCACGACCCCCTAACTAGAAGTGTAAATAAATCATAATAATAATGTTCATATTAATTTTCTTATTATTATGCAAAGAAGAGAAAGAAGCACGGGTAAGAAGCAAGTAGCTAGAAGAAGAAGAGAATAAATATTTTGAAGTGGCATTGAAAAAAAAAAGATCAAATAAGATCGAATAGAAAAGTGTTGTTACACATAAAATAAGCAACACCAAGCAGCAATAAATAATAATAATAATACTAGTAAGTAGGTATGAAAGCATTAAACTTGACTTTTCACTTCTTGCTCAAATATGCAATAGAAGGAAAAAAAAATAAATAAATGAATTGTTCGAAACATTTCAAGGTCTACATTACTCTTTAGCTTTATTTTTTGTTGTAATTCGCAATGTCGTGGAATTTACCTAGTTTTACTCTTACGTAGAGCGTCTCTCTCTCTCTCGCTCATTCGCATGTGATACTCTTCATCTCTTCATTGCTCGCCATCAACTAATTTTAGGACAACGAACTTTTGATGAAAGCATCAATAAGGAAGGAAAGTTTTACTTCGACACTCTACTCTACTCTCCAGTCGCATACATGCGACAATTATTCAATTCCGGGTTCATTATATTCATATAAAATAATATAAATAAGCTAACATGAGACAGTGCTGAAGCTTACATCAACATAGTATTGAATAACTTTCAGAATTCTTTCCATTTGTCTTTATGCTTTATTTTATATTGAAAGTCAATTGCCTACAAAGAGACAACAATACTCGCATGCTCACTCACAGTGTAATTTATTTCACGATCGAAAGCCACTCTTTTTCTTTCTCTTTGCCTTCATCACTTCTTATATTCATTACAAAAGTATATCTTTCTCGGATATTATTATTTTTATCGCATTACTGCGAAATGATTGGGTTCATGTATTTATTTTGTCTGTCTGAATCGGCTATGGTAGGTCATGTTAAGGCCACGTTGAGTCATACTTTTCATCATGTCGTGCTGTTTCTTTTTCTGGCGGCTGTTGTTGAAAGTTGTTTTTCTTTTTCTTTATTAAATTTGTAATGAGATTACTTCTTATTTTGTGGATTAAATTTAAGTCATTATGATATTTGTGAGTTGACTTTATTGGTGAACTTAAACGAGAGTTTTGATCTTTTTGGGAGTTTAAATTTGATTCGAGTCTCGAGATCTTTTATTTACTGTTGGTTTGTGAATTAGCTAAGATGCACTTTGTTTCAACTTGCAATGAGCAATGAACCTTAGGATAAGTCCGGAAGATGTTCAACATTCATCCATTCGTAAATCACTTCCAAGTACATCAAACAATTTATTGTATGATAAACGGAAGAATAGGAAAATTTATGTATTTGCGTCACAATCAATATTAGGAGAATTGATGAGAACAAACGTCATGTTCTTTTATTCGTCCAGATTTATGATTTCGCTTAATTTTACAACCATTTCCATAAACAACCTGAATTCCGATTAGTCTTCAGGACTTCATTAAACTTCAAGATCCAAAAGTTGAAAAAGAAAGTAAACAAAAATGAATCAGCCAGCAATAACTTTTTAAATTACTTAAAACACTTGACTTGCATCCATCAACAAACAAGCAGAACAGATGTTGATACAAAAAGCTTAATTTTATCTCCAATGTAATGATTAATATCACGTACAAATTGAACGAGTTCAAATCATCAACATCCAACTGTTTTGTGAGCCAATTTATGATGTTGCATTTCCCATGAATCAAAGCATCAGTCATCACCTTTCTGCCTTACCACCAATCATGAAAACCGGAAAAATGCGCTTGAATCATTCTCGTTGGCTGTATATTAACTTAATTACTTGTTTTTTATATCACATCTTTCATTACGTAAAACCTACTTTACTATAGAAGAGAAGTCCGACATACCCATTTTCTCTATATTTTTATTTGAGGTCAGAATATCAGCAGTAATAAAGAGCAAATGCCTTTAGATACATTAGATACAATAAAAAAAAAAATTGGGACAAAACATGAGAAATTTTATTTCTTGAGAAAAAATTCTCGCAATTTAAGTCAGAATTTTTTAAATAGTGTGTCTTATGTTTTATTAATAAACTTTTTATTTCTACAGTATAGCTGTTGAAAAAAAGAAAATGAGGGAGAAAGAGAGAGAGAGAAGAAAGATTTACATCTACTTAACACAATCATCAATATTATGATATATTACTACAATTATGATCATTAATACACTTCGTTTTGCATAACTGACGGCTAATTAGTATAAATATTACAATAACTATTAAGATTGTCACAACAGTTCTTGATGTTCACGTATGTGATTCACTGATAAACATAGCTATGGTAAACTTATTTATAGAAATTATGAATGAGAAAAAATCTTCTTCTTTTTCTTGTTTTTAACCTTAATTGAGTTGTAAAATCTTATGAGAAAAATGTGTTACATTTTACATAGCTTTTTTTGTTTTTGCAAATTTACATTGAGTTTAAGATTGGAAATTAATGATTGAAGTTGTATTTTTGGTATAGAGTGATACATTTTAAGAATTTAGTCAATGCTTGGAAATTTCAATTGATTTTTAAAAATGATAATTTTCACATTATTTCATTACAAAATTTTTGAAAACATTCAATTTTCATGAGAAATTCTAGCTAAAATCCCGCAATTCACGGTTAAATCTAATTTGATTTCACATTTTCTATATAAATTCAATATTTCATAAAGTTCTCAAAATGTTAAATATTTCCTCAACTCAATGTTTTAAATAAATTTCCACAAACATTTTGCATATTTTGTTTACATCACGCTACTAAACAGCCTTGATAAGAAGGAAGCAAAACTTAGACGTTCATCGACTTTTAAATTATTTATATATATTTTCAAAACAAATCTCCAATTTCACATTTAAATTGATGATAATACGATTCAAAAAGAAAAAAATTTAAAGTTGATTCTCAAATTCTGCTTTTAAATTCATTCAATAAATTTCATTGTGTTGATTCAACAATAGTCAATAGTCAAACTTTAAATTCTTATTTCAATAATTCTCTGGTTTTTAATTTTCAATCACTTAATTTCACTCATTTTGTACAATTTTTGGGGTAACGTGATTATAAATGACGTCAATTTTGGTTTCCCATAATCGGGACTTAAATGAATGCAGCACTTAAGACTCTAAGATATGCTCAATGCTATCAAAACACACATCATTTACAAACAACCCCAAAGAAATTTTCAATAATTAATTAATTGCATTCACTTATCACTAACTTCATGGATGTGATTGTTCTTATGACTTAAATTATTATTGTTATTATTATTATTGCTATTCGAGTAATCAAGTGCATACGAGTCAGACTGAGCACGATTTGTCGTAACTAAATCTATTTCCGATTCTGATTCATCACTGCCTTCTGAATCCTTGTCGTCATGTGAATTGTTGTTCCTTATTAAATTTTTACACAATAAATTCTCATTCTCATTATGTGACAGCACCGCCGATGCTTCCGTTTGTTGTTGAAACTTTTGTGAATTTTTAATTACATTCTCACAAATAAATTTCTCATACTCTGATGGTGACTTTGGAATATCATTTATGGACATTGCTTTTGATGCTTTTTTTTTTTGTTCGTTTGAGATTTATAATTCACATTAGATGAGATGAAATATTAGTTCCATTATAAAACTTACCTAATGCGGCTGGATTAATTTCATTAAGTCGCATTCTCCATGCATCTTGGAGCAGTTGAAGTCTTGTCTGTTTGCGCCACTTTGCTCTAGATTTTTGAGAATTTAATTTGATTATTAATTGGTTTGCTGGATGGATTTTTGAGTTCATCGAGTTGGAAATAATAATCAGAATTGTTCTTGACAATAATTTCAATTTTTTTTGAGCCTTTATCATTTAATTACAGTTTATTTGCACCAAAAATTAAATTATATCACGATTAAGGTTTAAAAACTCTAAAATATTAATTTTAATACTAATTTTAAATTTTGCAAAGGAATTTATTAGTCAAAAAAAACTTTAAAAGTTCTTTAACCTCTCCTTACAGACCTGCATACTTCCGATAATTATTATTATTTTCAACACACGAAATTGTCACATTGAACTCAAAAATTATGGGACGAGAACTCAAAAAAACCTCAAAAATTTTGTAATAAACCTACCTACGATTCTGGAACCTGCGGTGTAAAGTATTAAATTTAATTATCAGTTTTCATAAAAATCATGATTGCATGTGGTTTATCAATGAACTCACCAAACTTGAACACGAGCTTCACTTAAGCTTATTCTCAATGCTATTTCCTCGCGTAAAAAGACACTAATGTGTGCATAGGCAAATAAAAATAATACAATATTAACTTTAGTTCATATTTCTATGCGATAATGTAATTTGAGTTTTTATTATCAAAACATGTTGTTCACGATCAGACATAGTCAATTCAATAATTATTGTTGTAGGTAAGTTTTTGAGTGAAATATTGGATAGTTTATGACTTTTTTAAATCGTAGAATTTATCTTTGATATTTTAAAATTTTTAAATTTGAATTTAACGTTTAGTTTTAAACCCGAGCAACATGAAATAACTAAAGTCAGCCACATGAGATTTCGTTCTAATCAGAGACCGGTTTCAAGTGGGGCACCAGAATCAAAAATTGATCAACTACCCTAAAGGTTATGAATTTTATTTAACTAGGAGAGATAATATGAAACCGGCTCCAGAATCAACTCTATTTTCATCACAAGTTTCTTAACCAACCAAAAAACAAAATCATTTCTTACTCAGGATAATGTGTTTTCTGAAATAATCCTTCAAGTTCTTCAAGTTGCCGTGAATTAAAAGTCGTTCGATTCCTTCTTTGACGTCGTCTTCCAAACATATAATCCGATATTAAATCACTTGGAATTGGTGTCAGAAAAGGACTTGCCATTATTTTAAGGTATTAGATTAAATCCTTCACAATTCACTCACGTTTATCACAATAAAACAATCATAACTGATGCTGTTGAAGTATAACGCATTGTTATTTATAGGATAATGACATACTTTCCCCTAGAATCATATCCTTTCGTCCTGCGCATGCTGCATTACTTCCCCTTCCATTCAACAACCTTTTTATATTAAATTGAAATGAAATTCTTCATTGTTGTTGGTGCGATTGAAATTGAATAATATGAAAAATATTGGAATCGATTAATGGAAGATAAATTAGGGGTATGAGATGATTGAAGACATTTTAAGGTTCATAATAATTAATAATTTACATCAAACTCAAGCAATTAAAAAGGAAAATCTTCAAAAAAATCTGAAAAAACCACAAAAAAATTCCATCACATACCGCTGATAATAAAATTATGAATCTTCAATAGTAAATTGCATAAATATTATGATGCGCATGCATAATAACATCATAAAGTCGTATCATACACAAATAAAAAAGGGGGAAAACAGACGCGATATCTAAATGATATTAATTGAAATAATAACCATGCTGCTATGAACATCACAAAGCGAATGAAAATTTCGTTACACAATGGAATATGCAGCACATAACAATGGGGATGAAAAAAAAAAGATGAGAGAGAAAAAAATGGAAACAACACAAAGCACATAGATAATAATATTCAGAGGGAAAATTATATTAAGGGCGGGACAAAAATGAATTTAAAAACGCCAATGGAAATATTAGCAGCAAATGTGCCATTCCATTGTTTTGTGTACTGAAAAAAAAAGTTGTGAAAATTCTTATTGTTTCGAATGTAAAAACTACATTAACTTTTTCATTACGATATGCTCTCAGTTTATTCATGTGAGGACTATGAATTTACAAAAATGCATATATTAACCAAGGCCATAGAACTCCTTGCACTATGTCTACAATCACTACTTTTTTACTCAACTTTATAAATTTTTACTTATGTTTCAGTACACTTACTATACAATGTATCACAATCACTGCAATTACTAAACTTTACTGCACTTAACTCTTTTTTACAACTCTTTACTTTACTTAAGTACATTAACCTATACTTTACTACACTTTACTTTACTTTACTTTACTTTAGTATACTTAAGTACATTTTGCTTAACTTTACTACCCTTTACTACACTTTAGTGCACTTTACTCGTACTTTTCTGTACTTTATTTTTAATCAAATTAATTAGTGCATAATTTCAATCTAAATAGTTATAGGCCTCTTAAACATGTGGTCCATTAATACGTTGTAATCATACTTTCAAAAAACAAAAAATAAAATAAAAGATTTTGCAATCATTATAAAAATTTAAAAGAAAATGTTTAAAAACTTAACTAAAGGTTATAGAATTTAAAATATTATTTTTTTATTTTTTTATTATTCTATCATTTTAAACCATATTTAGCTGATGGAAAAGAAAGAGCTTACAAAAACATAAAGCACTAATGCTACTAAGGCAGAAATAGTTTCATTCATGTCAAAGAAATTTCTAATTGATACCTTTAGTTTGTAAGGAAATTTGTCAAAAATAAAATAAAAGTATAGTATAGAAAAATCGAAAAATTTAAAAAAAAATCTAAAATGTTGTGCTTTTGTTTTTAAAAATGAGTAATTTTAATTGAAAAAATTTTTAAAAAATTATGAAAAATTTTAATTCGAATTGACTCGAATTTGATTTTTTCACGTAAGCTTATATTAAAAAAACTAATGAGGACGATTTGTGTTAAGTTTAAATTTTTAAAAAAAGCTATAAATACAAGCTTCATATAAATTAGTTTCAATTTATTTGCATTTCGAAATTGAATGAAGGGACTGTAGAAAAACAATATTTTAAATTTATTTTGTAATAATATGTTGGCTTTTTATTTCAACAAGATTAACTTTCCAAAAAAAACTTTTTAAAAATATATATCAAAAGTGTTGATAACATTTAATTTTTTCTAAAACCAACAATATCAAAAACATTGATTCTCACTATTCTTTCGTTACTATTCTTCGTAATTAGGAAGGCATCCTTAATGTTGAAATATTTGAATTTAGTTCAATAGTTTTATTTTTTACATGAGAAAAGCTTCATTTATATTTACATTTTAAATATATTTTATATATAAAATTTCAAATAATAAGCGGTTCTTAAGTTGCGATAATATTGACTATTTATAAATAAATTGAATGGTAAAATAAACATTACTTCAAAATTAATTCAAAATCAACTTTAAACATTTTGGTTTTTAAAGTTTTAAACAGTTTTATGTTGCTGCACTTTCTATACTTTTACTACACTTGCTATACTCTCACTATACTGACTATACTTTTACAACACTTTACTACACTTAAACTACACTTGCTACACTTTTGCTACACTTTGCTACATTCTACTATGCTTTGGTTAACTTTGCTTCACTTTACAATATTTAACTATACTTTGCTCATGTTAACTTAATTTTGCGCAATAGTTTGTATACGTTACTGCACAATGCTCACTCACGGGTATACTATTTTGGGAGTTCTATGGCCTTGATATTAACATCCTGAATTGAAAAGCGTAAAGTGTATGGGATTTTTGAATGGAACAAGTGAACGATTTGAGATTGAGTTCTTCTATTTCGAATTTGTAACGCATTTTTTGAAAAAAATTGAATTTTTCTCGCCATTCTAAACTTTGCTGAAAATTTGAAAAATTCAAAAATATTGGGGTTTAGGCTTAGTTCTTAAATATTTTAATGATTAACTTCTTTGCTCACTCAAATTAAACCTTTTTCATCTATTCTAATGAGATTTTGATTAAAATCCAAGTTTAATTCAACATTTAAAAACTCGAGGTGACGAAAATAATCAAATTCGCGCCAAAATGAACCAAAATGTTGGCTCAATTTCAAATATTTTCAGTTGATAACGTTTCATTTAGCATCGATTTGCCAAAATAAATATTTTTTCATAATTTTGCAATAATATAATAGATTTTTATTAACTTCCAATTCATTAGTTTTTGAAAACAAAAATCAAACCGCACATCTGTGCATAAATAAACATTCAACAAAATTTTCATTACTTAATTAATAGATTTTAAAATATAATTAACAAAAAAAAATCTCATTTACTCAAATTAATTAATAATTTTGCTTAATCAATTTAATAGACAGATTTTTTCCCACCCTTAACTCACACCCCACCGTCATTTATCTAACCGTAATTATTTTTTTGTTCTGATTCAATTCTCTCCTCCAACCAGTGTATTTTTTTAATCAATCAAAAATTCTGTACTGTTCTACATTGCAATGAAATTATAATCAAATGTCATCATCAACAATAGTCGCATGTAAAAATAAACACAACTTCAGCACATTCATTATAAGTTAGGGTAGGGAAATCACAGTATTTTTTTTTTTGTTATGTGCTTGAGATTTTTATCAGATATGTGATGCTAAATTACAAAGGAATGTTTGATATTTTTGAATGAACTGTAGGAGGGGTTGGTGAGAAGATTTCAATGGAATGAAGAATTTTTTGATGCCCATTTGTAACAAAAAATTCTTAGCATAGCTTTAGACTCCTTAAAAAGGAATACAATTTACGATCGATCCACTAGAGGATGACCTTGGCCCCCAAAACTAAGTACCTGATCATGCATTCTTTGGAGGTGAGGTAGAGGGTATGAAGTGGAGTTGGGGTTATGGTTGGGTCCTTACATGGCATGAATAGTTTCTTAATTTACCACATTTTTGCGATAAAATTGAGAGAACAATATAAATTCATAAATAAACTCGATTACGTCATAGAGATTATCTAGCTCCTAGATACCAGATATTAGAAACTAGATACTAGCTCCTAGATACTAGTTACTAAATACTAGCTACTAGCCACCTCCATATTCCCCACTGAACCATAAATCTAAACCACAAAAGAACATAATTACTTCCTTTCCTATCCTATTCATCAAACCAAAGCAGCGTGCCGAAATCGTTCAATGAAGCTTGTTATGATTACTAACTTCATATATTGTAATTTTCACAGTTTTTTCTCTCGCATGTATTATATATTTGTATATTGGAAAATTTTTCCCCATTCACCAATGAGAAAAAAAAAGTAATAAAAAATTATCCCAAAAGATAGGAACGAGAGAAAAAACAAATCATGTAAAATCATCATACATACATTTTTAAGCCATTCATAAACAACAGAATTAAAACATCTGTGTGCAAAAAAAAAGAAAAAAAATAATTTTTTGCTTCGCCTCATTGTTGTTCCGTTTTTATTATGTTTTGTAATACTCATTGTTTGTGCAATTTTAATTTTCTGAATCTGATGATGTCTTTTATTATTATTTTTTCCCAACATGAAGGAGGAAAAATTCTATTCTCTTTTTTTTATTTTTAAACATATCTCTTTTAATTAAATGCATAAACGTGGAAACTTAATATTCCATTACAAAAGCAGAAATGTCTTCTTCCTTTTTCCTTTTTTTTAATCGATTCTTGATTGTAGGAAAAAAAATATGAAAATGAAAAGGAAAATGGAATTGAAAGTTTTTTTCTTCTTCTTTTTTTTTTAATTTCGTCAAAGCTGTGGAAGCTCGCGCCTTCCTTTAATATGATATAAAATTGTAAAGAATAAATAATGGGTGGATAGATTTTGTCAGGGGTTGCGAATTGTAGCGTTTGTTGATTATTGTAAAGCTTTGAGGTTGTTTAATGTTATGAACATAAAGTCATACGAGAAATTTGTGATTTATGGAGAAACTAGGGCATCATGGTATGAGATAAAGTAGTGTGTATAAGATGAAAGCAGGATCAGTCAAAATCTCTGTCAAAATATTTTAACCTCAATCTAGTCCCGTGCCGAAAAAATGAAGTTGATGATTTAAGGGTCTGTTCTTTAAACAGCAATTGAGACTTAAACGTAAGAAATGGCTGCAGAGTAAATAGGTTTCAGAATGAAGCTCATGGTTGAAATAGAGACATGATTAACAGACATGATTAAAGTCAAAAAGCATAATTAACGATACTTTTGAGTGTTTAAGGATACTTCAATTGTAAATTAGAATACGGCAATAGTTAAATCAAACTTAAAGTTGCGAGCCTCGTGACGATCGTCATACTTGAAGCCTCACCATTAAGGATGGTGTGAGAAGCAAGGATGAACAAAAGCGCAATACAAGGGAAAAAAAAATGTCTAGCAAAGTGAATTTTCATTTCTATTGTTGTATTTGCAAACAAGACAAAAATGTATTTTGTTGAATAATAATAAAAAAAGATGAATATTAAAAAAAAAATGGGAAGGAAGAACAGACACAATAAGACATTATAATGAAAATATATTAATTTTTCCCTGACAGTTACGTATACACGGAATAAGGAATAAGAAAATTTCTATTACTCTCACATTTACACAGTGTAAGCTGTAGATAAAGAGAATGAGCATTAATGCTTGGATGATATTTTATGCTGCTTATCATTATAAACACAATAGATAGTGAGGTGAGAAAAATTAATGTGCAAAAATGCTGAATTATGCTTCAAAGCTCTTAAAAACACCTTTCTTTCGCAGGAACAATAATGCAACATTCCTATTGTGCTTTTCAAGTCATTCTAAATGTATTCTAAAATAGGGCATCTTTAGAATGAAATTCCAACCCCTTCAATAATTAATGTGCAGTAAATGCATCGCATTTTTTCATGCCATTTTTCCATTTTATTCACGTTTTATTTTTATTTAATTTTATAAATTGACTCCATAAAATACGTGCTATCATCGAATTAAGTGGAGTTATGAAAAGCATCAAACGAAATTATATTTTTATCAAGTTTTAATAGTGTAACTTGGTCTCTAATTCAAGTCGTTCCGAGTGTCTCTTGACTGGAATTCATGTTTAATCAGAATAAGATAATAACTGATAAGGGGCTGTTCACTTATTACGTAACGCGAAAAAATGACTTTTTAGACCCCCCCCCCCCTCGTAACAAAATTTGTATGAAAAAAAAATTTCCTTGTTTGAACCGTAACAAAATCTTAGACCCCCCTCCCCCCCTAAAAGCGTTACGTAATAAGTGAATGGCCCCTAAGTTTTTCAGTCATTTTGCAGAAACGTCATCTGCGCAGCTATTTAAGGTTAACCCTTGACAGAGGAAATCAAAATACTTTCACCAGATTAGAAACATTAGAATCAAGGCGTGGACACTCAAAAATATGCTGGAATTATTGGGATTATTTTGATTATTGGGAGATATCCCAGTGTACACACCTTGATTAGAATCTAGATTGAAATTCTTCAATTTCTCAATCAACAACATCAAATGCGCTTCTACTAAATACAGCACTTAACTCAATATTTATATCTCTTCTACTTTTTTGAATAACTTCAATGAGAATGCAAATAAAAACGTGGAATATGTGGAAAAGAGAATTCATTCAATACAGATAATACAAAATATTATTATTTAATGGATTTACTGCTTTGGCATGTTTTTAAAAATTTTCCATGTGAATAGATTTATTTCATAAATGCATTTTGTGATGGAATTGTTTGGTTGATTTCATATATGGAAGCTTTAGCCAAATTTAATCAATTGAATGTAATTGGGAATTGGTGAGTTTTTAAGGGGGATGAATAGTTGTTTGGTTGAGAGATCAGTCGTATCCATTGACTTTTAAATTCTGCAAAGGATCTACAACTTATTAACATTGGTTGCATAAATTTAAGGCGCTTATATACATTCTTTTGCAATTTTAAAACTTACTTTAATGTGACTACCTGTAATCGTGTCTTTGTTTATTTGAATATTGTATGATCAACAAAAAACACTTATCAGGTAAATATGTAAACAAATAAACTTCTTTCCACTTAAGTTTAGAACCTTAAATTCTCAAAAATCCAAGCTTTCTATTGGAGGTATATAAAAGAGATGTTTTTTGAAGAAAGACTTTTGCAATTAAAAGTGATTTAAAGCATTTAAGTATTTTTAGATTTTTTTTTTTTTTTATAAAAACCTTATCAGTTCCAATTTAAACTTATAATGCAAGTTATAATTTATAAATATTGCAAATAAAACTTCAATTAAAAGTTTACATTTTATAAATTTAAAAATGAGTGACATAAACAGCTTACCAGAAGACATCATTATTGAAATTTTTGGAAATTTGAGTCCAAAAATGATTAAAACATGCAGTTTAGTTTGCAAAAGGTTTGTTCTTACTTTTATTTTTCTTTTAATTCAAATGTTAATTCAAACTATCTTAATTTCAGCTGGAACGAAATCATAGCGAATTCATCAAACTTAATGAAAAACTTTCAACTCAACTTAACCAACTCTGATGTAAATATATGGATAGCTAAAGAAATCAGGAGGAATCATCAATCGATAATAGTTAAAGATTTAGAACACGATTCATTGGATGTTATCAGCAGACACAACTTGAAATCACTTAATATATCTGACGCAGAAGATATAAAAATATCAATACTGATCAAAGCATTAAGGAATCTTCCTGCCTTAAGTGATTTTGATGCAAGATATGCACAAATCATTCACGACATTCCAATTGTTGCCCACTTAAAGAAGATTCGAACAAATCTTAAGAAACTCCAATGTGGTCTTGAAATCATTCATATATTTAATTGTTCTTCACTTAGGAAATTTGAAGTAGTAACCGAAGAGTCTCCAAACTCTAATAGTAAAGAGCTGTTGATTGATTTTTTATCAAAACAAAAGGATTTAAAAGAACTAACGTTATGTGATGAATTTGATGGAGATTTATTTGATTCGGATAAGATCTTTAAGTTCAAATTTTCCTTAATGAAGCTTACTTTATGGAAATATACGCCTTTCATTTATTATGACATATTTATCAGATTATTGGAACTCCAGAAAAATTCTCTGATCAGCTTAGAAGTCAATTTTAGTACAGAACCAAAATCTGGGATTGAAATCATTCTTAAATTTGTTATGGAACATTTGGTAAATTTGAAACATCTTAATTTTGGACATATTGATGCTGAACTTGAAAATAGCCCATTTTCATTTAGGGATCTTATTACTGAGAAGCAGGTTGCGAATAACATTGAAAGTTTAGTATTTTATACTCCATATGATTTAGATGAAGCCAAAAGATTTTTTAAAATGCTTCCAAATCTTAAACGTTTGAATTTTAGAGCTGTCCATAGCATAACAGTTCAGGATGTTCATCTTCTTCAGCATATAAGCTGCATCACCAAATTAGAGTCTTTAAGTATCATTTCATTAAGACCTAATGATCTAAACTACATGCAATTTCCAAATCTCAAAGAAATTTCTGTAGAATGTTGGGATAAAGACTTCTTGCCTGCTTTTATTACTCAACAATTAATTGAGTATTGGAATGAAAAATATTTATGTTCTTTTATTAATCGCCATTCAGGAACTTTAGAAAAGATTAGTCTTCCAGATGCTGAGATTATTACTGAAGTAGTTGCAAAAGAAATATTAAATTGTATAAATTTTAAAAGTATCCAGCTATTTCAGCAAGAAATAAGCTTACGTCCTATGATGCCGTTTCGTGGCATTTCCTTAAAAAATTCTGTAACATTTACAATTAAAACAGGATTTGAGAAAAAAATATTCATATTTCCTGATGATAAAGCTCTTTGGAATGAAGAAATAAAATCTTTGAGATGAGGAAAAACATGTTTTAAAAGCTTAATATTGATTTATTAATAAAATTATATATGGTCAAAAGTTTGGTCTGTAAAATGTTTGTGTTCTTTTAAAACCTTTTAAATTCAAAATTTGTTCAAAATTATTATTAAAACTTCATAATATGTCTGTTGCATGTTGGTTTGATTTGTCATTATTGATTTTGAAAGCACCAATATGGATTTGATTGACCGCATCTCAAATACTGCAATAAAGCTATTTGGAATAAAAGAATCGAATTTTTGCAACATGAATCCGGTACTAGCTTTAGAAAAATGTCAAAATATAAAATAAATTGAATTTCAATAAAAATTACTACATGCGTCATTCTCAAACATTTTATCAGTCTTTACTTTAAGTTACAAACTTTTTCAGTGTTCCCCAAATAGATAAAGTTGATAAATAATTACGACTTAATTTGCTAGCAAGAAATTTGTTTCCAGTTTTCAATTTCATAATTATTTGTAATTTTAAATAAATTCTGCTTTAATTATCAAAAAAAATGATCGAAATTAAAAACTTACCAGAACACATTCTGATTGAAGTTTTTTCAAATCTAAGTCCAAAGATGATAAAATCTTGCTGTTTAGTTTGCAAAAGGTTTGTACGGACTTTTTTCTCTTTTCAAATAACAGAACTGATGCAAAATGTCTGAATTTTAGTTGGAACGAGATTATAGCAAATACAACGGAACTAATGGACAACTACGTCCTCAACTTGAACAAGCCTTATGAAGTTACAAAGTCAGCTAAAGAAATTGAAAGAAAACATCAATCAGCATTGGTCAAAGATTTGTCACAAGATTCACTTGATGACATTTGCAGACATAACTTAAAATCGCTAAAAATTTCGGGTACAATAAGAGAGTCATTATTGGTTGAAGCATTGAATAATCTACCTGATCTAAAGGATTTAGATGCTGAAAATGTAGAATTTGTTTATGACAAATCAAATACTGTTAATTTCATGAAGGTTCATACTAATCTTCAACAGCTAAAATGTGATGTTGGAATTGTTCATATTTTTGGCTGTTCTGCGCTCAAAAAATTGCAACTAATGACAGAGGAATATGTGAATTATGATAAAAAAACGTTGATCCATTTCTTACAACAACAAAAGGAACTACAGGAGTTAATATTAATTGAAATTAATGATGACATATTTTGTTCATTTGAAATTTTACAACTTAAATTGTCTTTAAAATCTCTATCATATTCAAAGTTTGAACCAATTTTATTTTATAACAACTTGATTAGATTTTTAAGATTGCAAAAAGATTCTTTAACCAGCTTAGAATTAGATATTTGCACAAATCCTAAATTTGGAATTGATCAGCTTCATGAATTTTCATTAAAAAATTTAAAAAATCTAAGACATTTACAGCTTGGATTCGTTTCTGGGGAAGTTCACAATAACATGTTGTCATTTCAAGAACTTACACCAGAAAAGCATACAGCAAAAAATATCGAAAGTTTGGATTTTAGATCTGGATATGATTTGAATGAAGCAAAAGGATTTTTCAAAATGCTTCCAAATATTAAGACATTAACTTTTGAGGCAGGAAACAATTATATTATTGGTATCTCGAATGATGTTGAACTTTTGCAATATATAAGTGCAACACATACCAAATTGGAAGTATTAAACCTTTCTGCGTTTATGAAACATGCTTTTAATGATGTGTTCTTTCCAAATCTTAAAGAATTTTCTTTTATTAACGTTGATAATGAAGGAAACGATGATATTCAAAATTTCATCAACTATCATCTAAGGACTTTAGAAAAGATAACTCTTCCAGACGCGAGGATTATTACTGAAACTGTAGCAAATGAAATTATGAAATGTGAAAAGCTTAAAAGTTTCGAATTGTCTGCACGTAAATCAAGTTTATCTTTCTTAAAGTTATTCCGTAATATATCATCAAAATCACCATTCACGTTTACAACAATAATGGATGACATTAAGGAAATATTCAAGTTTCCTGACGATAAAGCCATTTGGGATGAAAAAATCGAATCGTTGAGTGATGAAGCTCAGGAATTTAAATTATTTTAAAATATTAAATGTTGATACTTTATACTGCTTTATACTTAAATTCAGAAACAAAATAAAATATGTCAGATACTAATTATAAATATAAAAGTTTCGGTTTTTGAATCTATAAGGTCAATTCTGCTGACCCAGACAAAAGAGCATCAGAAATGTTATCAGTCACAATGTCAAGATTAATTTTACTGAAAAAAAAAACATTAATATTTGATTTAAGAATAAATTTAGAAGATATTCAGCAAAAAACATAAATTTCAAGCAACACATAAACAGCCAAAAATGTTCAGTAATTTCTTTTATTTTTTATCATATAATTTACACCTAATTTTAAAAGAAGCGAGAAAAAAATAGATAAATTGTTCATAAAAGTGAATTAAAATTTAAATTTCAATAAACATTTAATTATCGTCCACAACATCTTGAATTTGATGCCTCAGAATTCTCATGAATATTTACATCAGTCTCATTTTCTTCAACTCTCAAGCGTCGTCTCATCGAATTTGATCTATTTAATGTCGCCGTTGCCTGCTGCTTGTCATCATGAGCCTTAATCATTAGCTTTGATATTTCGAGGAACAAGTCATCAATATTCTCATTGAGTTTTGCTGACGTTAGAAAGTGTAACGCGCCCACGCTTTTTGCGTATTGACTATGCGGTTCGGGATCATATTGTGCCTTTCCTTCTTTTTGTAAATCAATTTTATTTCCAACAATCACACAAACGATTTCATCGCCAACGACCTTCTTTAATTCCTTTATCCACATTTTAATTTTTTCAAATGAATCAGCGCTAGAGACATCGTAAACTAGAATTGCACCTTGTGAATTACGATAGTAGATGGGTCCTAAGCTATGAAACATTTCTGAAAATATAAAGCATATCAGTTAATTAAATTGAAGCAATTAATGAGTCATAATTGAACAAATAATGAATAAAGTCATTTGCAGACGTTAAATTAAGATAAGATAAGCAAATATTGTGTTAATCATAAACGTAGACAGAAAAAAATTTCACGAAGGGGATTGGAACTCATCAGATCTTCCGCTTAACAATAATCTGTGGCATTAAACCTACCCTGACCAGCAGTGTCCCAGATATTAAGGTTTACTCGGCAGTTCCTTCCATCATCGTGCTCAAAGTTAATTTTCTTATTTAGGAATGATGCTTGTATCGTCGATAAATGCTGCTTATTGAATTGATCGTGTACAAATCTCAATAATATACTCGTCTTGCCGACCTTGCCTTCTCTGAAAAATAATGTAAATTATTAATTATTCTAGTCTCTAGATTGAAGTAACTGGATCTTATAATTCTAAATAGTTCTACTAGCAAATGGCTAATTTTGACTATGAATCAGCATATGCTATGAATTATCATTCTAATAATCTCAAAATAATCATAAAGTCGCCGAAAAAATCATAATTAACAATAATAAAACGCAAAATGCAATATCACTAGCTTAACTCACCCCAACAAAACGACCTTAAATGTAAAATTAGTTGTTGATACTTCTGCTGACATTTTTTATTTAATCTACTTTTTAAAAATCACATTAATTGAATTAAATCTCCGAAATATTGACTCTCGTATTCGACTGAGAAAATTTGTAAACAAAAATCAGATGTAGTTTTAAGGCATAGATACTAGTGATTTTGTGGTTGCTTTTTTGAAGAAGGTGTGATACTTGATGTTGCATTTTGTTCACTTTTGAGAGTGGTGAAATAAAAAATGGGGAGGAGGTGTGGTGAATTCAAAAAAGTTGAGTGGTGAATTAAAAAAGTGGGGGTGGTGAATTCAAAAAAAGTTGAAAAAAAAAATCAAGTTCTTTCCAAGGTCTAAGCCTTGTTTTAGTGTGCTTGAGTTAAGACGTATTTACATTTGTTTGAGAAAAACATTGTCGACTGAACGCAACACAACATTTGGATTTATACATTAATAACTGTGCTTTAGACAAAATAATTAAATTTAATTAATATGACTGAAGATTATGTGTATAATAGTTCAGAATGGAAGGCTCTATCAATGTCGTTTGTAGAATATCCAAAAGGTAAGTCGGAAAGTTTGAGGAAGTGATGATAATTTAGCATTTTTGTCACACATCATCAATAAATTCCAGAATATCTAAACAAATAGCTTTCTAATGTCGTTTCAGGTGATATTTTTGGCAAGTTAATGGCACTACTAGCTCTTGCACCATTATACATTGTAGCGGCTTTAAGTGCTTTAGCATTAAGATGTCGAGATTTGCACACTGTAAGTTTTAATTTTATATCCTTCGGACTATGGATACTCATTAGCATAGCTAGTTCAAAGTTCATATTTGCTCTTTGATCTCTCGTTATTTAGAATAATAAGTACAATTTTACACCTACAGATTTTCTATTTTGTTGGAATAACACTTAACGAGCTACTCAACATGTTCTTAAAATATGCAATTCAAGAGCCACGTCCGGTAGCGAGAGACAATTATTATGTCCAATACGGAATGCCCAGCTCTCACAGTCAGTTTATGTTATTCTTTACAGTTTACACAATTTTGTTTCTTTATAAAAGGTAAGCATTGAATAAGGTCGATGTGGATTTATTGAGAAATTCATGGTTTAGAGCGCATTTTGTCTGGCTGGATCATGATTTGTGAGAACAAGTGAGCTTGAGTTATTTAACTTTAATGGATTTGAGTCACAAGTTAATCCTAAGGGTTTAGTTTAATCTTTTGGTATGTAATTAATCCGAGGATTAGTCATAAAGTATGGTAAAGTTGTAGTGCATAGAAAGATATACAAACGTGAACAATATTGGAAGAAGATTCAAGTGCGCTCAGCATGAAATGAAAATCTTCAAAGCCAGATTTGTACTTCTTAACTCATTAATCTTACTCTTCTATTCCTCAGATTACACACAAACTCGTTAATCGAAAGGGCCTTTCGCGCAATCGGTGTTGTAGTGTGTATTGTACTAACAGCATTAGTATGTTATGGACGTGTATATTTATTATATCATACAGTAAGTCAAGTCATCGTAGGCGGTCTCATTGGTGCTTTTGCCGGTCTATTTTACTTCTTCTTTATACATTCAATTCTCACACCGTACGTATTTCCCAAAATTGTCTCATGGAGAATCTCAGAGCTTCTTCTAATACGTGATACATCGCTTATTCCCAACATTCTGTTCTTTGAGTACACAGCGACGCGACAAGAAAGTCGAGCAAGACTTAGGAAAAATATGAAAATGCAATAGACGCATAAGGTCGGTCCACAGAACAATTTTTGGTGTAGGTTTTTTAAAAAAGATCTTTTTTACAATTCTTATTTAATTAGTTGTTAAACAACAATTTTTTGCTACGACGGGTCAATAACGTTAATTAAACTTATACCTATAATAGATAAGAAATCAAGGTAATAACAAAAATGGCACAATAATAAAAAAGAAAAATTAAGTTTTTTTAAAAATTCTATAATTAATTAAAATGTTGTTCATTTTTATTTAAGTTTTGTTCCTCAAAAATAGCATTATTATGTCCCATAATTATTATTGCTACAATTAATTAATTAATTAATATTAAAAGGTCCCGTAAACACATTAAAAGTCAATAAATCTAGTCCCGTTTTTTGACGGCATACAAAGGAGATGGTGCGGAATTAGCGTAGCCCAACTCGTTTAATGCTCGTCGAATGTCAATGAATACAGATGGATCTTCAATTGTTGCTGGTAAATTGACAGTCTTGTTTCGTGCAAAGTCAGCTAATGCTTTTCTCATTGTTTTGCCACTTCTCGTACGCGGCAGTGCTTGGACTTTGGCTACAAGTCGAAACGATGCGATTGGTCTGAAATATGGAATTTATTAATTATTGGAATTTGGACAGTCGTTGCTATAATTTACCCAATTACTTCTCGGATTGTCTTAATGATTTCCACGGATATCTTTGCTGGCGGTTTTCTAAGGAACAGAAGAGTCAGCATAGACACAAATTAAATCATATCAAGTTCTTACTTCACTCCATCTTTTGTGACGTATAAGCACAATGGCACCTGGCCCTTAGTATGTTCAGGAACACCAAAAACAGCACAGTCAGCCACATCTTGATGTCTCAAAATTGCATCTTCAAGGCTAGATGTCGAAATCCTATGTCCGGCAACGTTAATCACCTATAAAGTAATCTTTCAATATTCATTTGTCAAAAATACAAACCAGCTTATAATTACATCATCATCACGAGCTGTGGGAAGTACGAGAGAAAATTATTGACAGTTTTATAGTTTATTGGATGTGGAAATAAGTCTTTACCAGTTACGTAGATGTAGCCAGATTCATCCTTGTATCCTGCGTCCTATAAACAATGTTAACTTTTAGTGCCGTTAAGGGATCATTTAAAAAATACGTCAATCAAATATGATGTCTAACGTCACAAATGTACTTAATATGGATATAAGGAATTACCATAGTATCGTAATAGCCAGGAAATCGTGTGAAGTAGACCTTCTCATACAAGTCGTCATTTCTGTACAGCGTAGACATATTTCCCGGTGGCAACGGAAGTTTCAACAGAATCCTTCCCAATTGATTTGGACCAAGTTCTTCAAGCTTCTTTGCATCTGGTGCCATTACTTTGATGTCATAGCCGACAAATGGAAGTCCTGAGAATATGAATTCAATGTTAAAGGTCAAGAAAATTCGAGGATAAAAGCACTTACCAGTTGTAAAGTTTGGGACATTCAAGTTTTGTGAATATCCAACACATGTGGCAGTTATAGCAGATCCTAATCGAAATTCAGAAGCATTATTTGTTATTGGGCGTCATAATATTTTGGGATGGACGATTAAGTGATACAAAGCACCTCAATCCCCCATCCACATCCTTAAACATTAGAATCTGTCCTCACCAGTCTCAGTCTGCCACCAATGATTAAGAACAGGAACTTTAAAGATATTCTCCATCCAATTCTTTGTCTCCAAGTCACAATGTTCACCGGCGATGAAAATTCTCTTCAAAGAACTTAAGCTGTACTTGCTGCCATATCGAGCATGTGGATCAACCTTTCTGATAACACGAAAAGCTGTTGGAACACTGAATATTGCTGATACTTGATGTTGTTCAATGATTCTGAAATATTGACCAGGATCTGGTGTTCGATCAGGTTTGCCTTCGTACATGACACTTGTTGATCCTTAAACGATATAGAATGTAGCATAAGCCATACAATTGAGTAAATTCCTTACCATAAAGAAGTGGTCCGTAAGCAATGTAAGAATGTCCAACAACCCATCCTAAATCACTCGCAGCCCACCAAACATCATCAGGACGAAGTCCATAAATAGTATTCATTGTATACATCAATGTTACTATATGCCCGACCGGACGTTGTACCCCTTTCTAAGGATTATTAAGTAAGAATCAAAAAAGTTATAGACATAAAGTAATAAATCAGTTACTGGCTTGTCAGTCGTTCCGGAAGTATAAAGAATATACAATGGGTCATTAGCTTCAACTGAGACACATTCAGCTGGCTCTGCCATAGCACTTTCCCAACATAAATCCATATGTGGATCCAGTTCCGAAACAAGAATATTTTTTCGTTGGTATATAATACATTTGTCTGGCTTCCAATGAGACATTTCGATAGCCTTAAAGTAAATATTATAAAATTGTTTGAATGTCAATTAAGTGACGATATCCCGCCAATGTCATGACTTTTATGTCTATGCAAAAAATTATACTTACTTCATGCAGAATATCAATATACGGAATGACTTTATTAGGCTCAACACCACAGCTGGCACTGATCACAACTTTTGGTTCAGCATGTTCGATCCTTGTGCTTAACTCGCTTGATGCAAAGCCTGTTGAAGATAATATAATTAATTAGGGCAAGTTCCAAACAGGTGTCTGCTCTATATATCGGTATATTGACTATAGTCGTCATTGGTTAATCAGTGCTGTATATACGTTCGACAAAAAAGTTATTGAGAGTTGACGAATTTTAAAACTTTATGTTAATTCATTTACTTACGTTTCCTGACCTTTGTTTAATAGAATTCATAATGTTCTTACTTTTACGCGTTCGAAAATTTGTGCCTTGCTTGCCTTAAAACACTCTTTTTGATTGTCTAATTAAGATTTAAGGAACGAGATACTTGCCTCCAAAAACAACCGAATGAACTGCACCAATGCGAACAGTTGCAAGCATGGCAATCACAACTTCGGGAATTAAGGGCATGTAAATTACAACACGATCACCTTTTCCTACTCCAAGCTTCTTCAGTCCACCAGCGAGTCTTGAGATCTTCAAAATTTGGAAATCAATTAGTCAATTAAAAAGTTTTGGGATGTAACAGACATACAGTATCAAGAAGTTCACTGTAAGTGACTCGTCGAATGGTATTCGTAATTGGACTGTCTTGAATCAAGGCAACCTTATTGCCATTTCCATTAGCGACATGTCGATCGATACAGTTATAGCAGGCATTCAAATATCCACCACAGAACCACTTTGTGAACGGTGGATTGCTGTTGTCCAACACTTGATTATACATCTTATCCCATGATATCGATTGAGATGCTATCTCGTCCCAAAACTTTTCTGGCTCGTTGATCGAACGCAAATATGCTTCCTTATACAGCACATCATGATCACCTTCAAGCATATATATTTTTTTGGAATTAGAAATTCAGTTTGATTTTTTAATTAAGTTTTTTTTTTGTTACTTGGAAAGCTTGGTGCAGTTGAGCTTTTGCTGCTGGAATTCTTTTGACTTGCGCTTTTTTGCATTTTTAATTAATTTAATTTTTTTTATGTCAGAATGCAATGTGATTCCTATCCTTTTTTTTCTTCACTTACCAGCACGAAAGACCGAACTATACTGAAGTTAAAAGTTGTAAAATTTCCTTAAAATTGAATAAATTCATGATATGATTAAGTCAGTACGACTGTAAATTATAATAAATTATTGATACTATAGTCAATTAATGGGACAATTAGCTAATATGTTCTATTTGGATTAATTTCTTTCCTTCCTCGTTTTTTTTTTGGGTTCTTTTTTCTTAGTCAAATTCCAATGAAATGACAGTTTTGTAGGTAATTGATATTCTAATTAATCAGGTTATTTTGATAATTTAATGCTTTTGTGTCGATTACTATTGTTTTTGTGTCTATTTTTAACAGGAGCTGGACAGACATTGAATTTCTCTTAATCTTCTTTTTTCATATGATCTATTGTTCAATTTATTGATTCGATCGTGCAATCTGGGCACTAATTGTGGGAGCATTCCTTTCAATCTTCAATAATTCCATTATAACGAGCTCATAACTTTTAACTGCCACAATGATATGTGATCAGTGCCATACAAAAAAGCTACTCCAACCTACTAACTCCATCTACTTAATTTCTATGCAATTATTCCATTTCTATCATGAAAGTTTCATCTCAAAAAAAGTTTGCATTATCAATATTTCCTTTATTTTTGGGGATTTATTTGGTTTTGGTCAATTTAAATTGTGTAGAAATGTCTGCAAGTGAAGCATTTACAACGAACGAAATCGTTCCAGACATTTTGGATGATGGTCCAAAGGAATTACTTAAAGTTTCTTATAGTTCAGGCATAAAATTAGAAATCGGAACCGAATTGACACCGACTCAAGTGAAAGATCAACCAAATATTGAGTATGAAGGAGATAACGATGCTTTTTATACATTATTGTTGACTGATCCAGATGCACCGACCAGAACGGTAAGTAGCTATAATTTTAATTGCTAGACGCAATGTGATGAATTTTTCTGCAGGAACCGAAAGTTCGAGAAGTTCGACATTGGCTGGTTGTGAATATTCCAGGAAATAAAGTCAATGAAGGTGAAACTAAATGGTCATATATTGGATCTGGACCACCGAAAGGAACTAATCTTCATCGTTATGTCTTTCTGCTTTTTAAACAAGCTAATGGCAAGCAAGACTTTGATTTACCAACTGTGCCTAATACATCTCGTGATGGACGCCTTAATACTAATACCCGTGAATTAATTAAGAAATATAATCTTGAATTAGTTGCTGGAAACTTTTATCAGGCTCAATTTGACGATTATGTTCCAATTTTGCAGGCTCAACTCGGTGGTCCACCGAAAATCAATTAAATTGTCCACAAATAAAACTTAATTAATTTTAATATGCATCAAAAAATTGTTTATTTCATTTAAAAATAATAATTAATTAATCATGAATTTTCAGCTTTTGTTTTGGACCTTTCTTGGATTTCTTTGATTGTGGAACTTCCTCTTTAAATGCATTCTTCTTGATTCTGACCAAACGACGTTTTCTTGGCATTCTCTTAACATTCGGCACTAAAATGTTTCTTTTTTGCATGCTCTTGAATCGATCAACAAGGATACTTCCCAGTGGCTTCAATTTCCTCAAATTACCCAAATCCTCAGGATTATCTTCAACTTGAATGTCTTCTTCCTCGAACTTTTTACGTGCTAATCTACGTGGCTGCTTCTTTTTCAATTCTTGTTTGACTGCGCGATCCTCTTTGCGTTCAATCAAAACTTCTTCATTCTTTTTAATTTGTTTCTTGTACATTTTAAGCCTGAAAAATAAGATATTAGACATAAGACATTAAGAATCAATAATTTGTAGCTTGTTAAACTTACATTCCCAAATCCTTAATCTTCTTTAATTCAGTTTTATCCTTTTCTGCTTGAGCCATACGCAATCTGTGTTCTTTTTGCTTTCTGCGCTTCATTAAATCCTTTTTTCTGTTCCTGACTGGTGGATTTGTTGTTTTATACTCATCACCCGACGGCTGTTCATCGTCATCTCTGATAGGACCGTTTGTTGGAAATCCTTCACGCATTTCAGTTCGCTTGCGACGTTTAAGTTCTGATTTTGTCGTTTTCTGATAAACTGCCTTTAATGATCGGTTTAACTTCTCTGATTGCTTCATATGTGCGGCTTCCTTTTCAACAACAGCCCCTATCAAACTATCATAATCCTCTTTATTTGGATTATAACTTGTGCCTGGAAGTACGTCAATAGCTTTCAATTGACTTCTCCTTTCGTATGTAATTTGTGGCACTTTAACTGTATCAATACCCAAATTCTTTAAATGATATTGCTTTAAATCCTTATTAACCCATGACGATGCCAATTCTGGATTTTCTTTCATGCCTTCTTCCTCACCATCCCATAAATCTTTTTGGAAATCAATTTCCTTTTCTTTTGTTACAATGACTTTTTTTGATGCCGCTATTCTATCAGTCATTGATTGTAATTTTCTTTCTGGTATGATACCTAATTCCTTGTTACGCTTAATTTTTGCCTTTAATAATGGATGCTTTCTTTCCTCTAATGTCCTCACACGATTTCTCTTTGTGATTGGATCCTGAACTTTTGAATTGTTTTCTAAGCTTATGAAGCATTTTGATGGCTCCTGTGCACGTAATTTCTTCTCTAGACGAGCGGATGTTGTCCTTAAGTTTGGTGTCTTATCGACTTTGAAGAGTTCTGCATCAGTTTTCTCGATATTCCTATAATAAATGAAGTTTTAAAGATCAATTAGCATCTGGATCAATGTTTTGTGACACTATCTTCTAGAGACAACATAAATGAGTCACCTGTGAGCTATATATAATCCATAACATCCATATCTAAGCACTAATTGCCAATATTATGGTTATGTAGAGTATATTCGAGTAAAAACTAATATTATTAAGTACTTACGCTCCAATTCGTTCTTGTAAACGTTGTTCCTCGAGAAATTGCTCAACATCAGCAATGTCTGTATGCTTTCTCCAGCTTGCCTTTTTCTTCATTGACACATGTCTTTTCTTTGCAGTTTTTGTCATCTTAATTTCCGATGAAATACTCAAAGACCAAGCACTAATTCACTATTATTTGAAAGATCCCGACTTAAACTATAGTTCTCACGAGTTTTAACAATTTAATATAACAAAATTCTATATTAATTCTTCAATTTTAGTAAATTTTACAATTTCAACAATTTCAATGTTTACAAAATTGGGTGCAACTTCAACTCATTGGATGTTTTCAAATTTTTGTCGTTTCAATCTGTTTCTGTATTAATCAGTATCAATACTTAATCAAACTTCGTTTTAACATGCTCAAAAGGCTTTAAAGAAGATTAAAAGTATTAAATAAATATTGCGAACCAGCTCAATAGTGTAGATTAGAAATTTGTATAACGTTTATTATAAATTTAAAATAAAGTGAACAACTTCATTGCATTGAAATTTGAAAACACGTGAATTTTTAAAAAGTAAACATTTGAAAATGACAGAATTAAAAAAGAAGATTAAGCGTGAATTAAAGGGTGAAACGGAAGCAGGACCAGACAAGAAGAAAGTCAAGGCTGGAAACTTTAAAGAAAAACCAAAGTTTGATGGAAAAACTAAGAAATTCGATGGAAAATCGAAAAATTATGATGGAAAATCGAAAAATTATGATGGAAAATCAAAGAATTACGGCGATAACAAGTTCCAGAAGCCAATAAGTCATGAGCCACCAAAACAGAGCTGGAATGAGATAAAGCAGCAGAAGAAGGAACTTAAAATTAAGCGAAAAATCAATAAAAATAAGGACATGTATGATCTGGATGTTAAATGCAAGAAGATCTATGAGGAATTGAAGATGAAAAGCACAAAAACGAATAAGGAACAACTATGTGAAGAATTACAAAAGTTGCTAGAAAATGCAGATTACAGTAAATTAAGTCATAGTCCAGATAGAGCACGAATCATTCAAATGATGTTAAAGAAAGCATCATTAAAGATTAAGCATGAAATAGCTGAAAAAATTATTCCATTCATTAATGATGTTGCCTTGTCAAAGTACGGCAAGTTCTGTGTGTCAAGATTAATGACATATTGTGGAAAGGAAGTTCGTGAGAAGGCAGTCAATGGAATGCTATCAAATATTGTGAAATTAACAACTCACAACTTTTCTAATGGACTAATTGACATGATATATCTTAATCATGCGACACCTGATCAAAAGAACTTTATGAAACAAGAACTTTATTCAGACTTGTATAAAAATGATAAGAACAAAGCTGTCAAGACGTTAAAAGATACATGGACTGGCTCAGAAATGATGAGAAATGGAATATTAAACAGCACAAAAATGAATTTAACTAAAATTGCATCCAAGAATCATGTTGATAATAGCTTAGTTCATGCTGTATTGTTGGAATATTTAGAAGCAGCTGATGAGAAGGATCGTAATGAAGTCATTACTGCCTATATTCCACACATTGCAGCTATTGCATCCACTAAATGTGGTTCTCGTGCTGCAACACTTTGTTATCTGTATTCAGTCGCTAAGGAACGTCGTGCTATGTTGAAATCAATCAAGGATCACATTGTTAAGCTTGCTATTCATGAGCATGGACATGTTTTCGTCTTGGAAATTCTTAATGCTACTGATGACACACTGAATATCAAGAAGACTTTATTCACGCAAATTGTTAAGAATATTGAAGAAATAGCATTAACTGAATATGGCAAGCGAGTGATTTACTTCATTGTATCACCAACAAAGGAGTTTTTACATCCACAAATACTTCGGGAACTAACAGATGACCTTAAAATTGGTGCACAAAAGAAGGATATTGAAATCAGACGTAAAGAACTTGTTGATGGCATTGAAAGTGAACTGTGTGCAGCCATTAAGGAGAATCCAAAATTCTGGATTCAAGGAGGTCACATTGCTCGAGTAACAGTAGCAATTCTACAAAATGTAAATCCATCAAATGAGAATCAAACAGCTTCATTTGATGCAATCAGTGAAGTTATTTGTGATCCAGAATGGATGGTAAATGAAACGGAACCAATTACAGCACACGAAGAAAAGAAAGAACTTGTAGACACTGGTAAAATCAAGAAAAAGAAGAAGAATCCAATAGAAGTTAAGGTTGTGGAGAAGGAAGTAGCATCAGTTAAAGGAATTGAGCACAGTGGACTTCACATTGCAATTAAGAAACTTGCTAAGCTTACTGGATTCGCTAACTGTTTTATTAAACATTTCAATGAAGAAATTGTGAGTAATTTTATAGAGACATTGACATATTTCTTCTTGTCTTGTCCATAATAGGACATACATTGACTAATAAAACATTTATTTTCAGTTGCAAGAATGGATTAAAATAAACCGAGCATGTTTCGTGATTAATGAAATTTTGGAGCACTCTGAGGACGAGTCAAAGGCGAATTTGAAGGAAATGCTTGTAGGCGTTAAGGATGAGCTTACTAAACTTTCACATGCTGGAGCAAAAGTGTTGATTAAGAAATTATAAATGGAAAAAAATTAATTAATTAATTAAAAATGGAATTAAACAATAAAGAATTATTTTGTTCTTAAAATTATATGTAATCCACTGTCTGTGTCCACAATTCCACTCATTTCGCCAACTTTGAGTCCAAAAGCAGCTTCTTCGAATTTTGCTTGCATGACACCTTTCTTGAATCGTCCTAAACTGCCCCCCTTCTTGTATGAGCTACAGTCTGAATACTTTGATGCCATTTCTCCAAAATCAGCTCCATCATCAATTTCCTGCTTATATCCTTCGAGCAATTCACGAGCTTCTTCCTTAGTTCTTGTAATGTTTTCTTCGCGATGACTTGATGGACGACGAGATCCAGCATGTTTAACTAGCAAATGTGCAGCCTCAACTTCAGAAAGTTCATTTGTTGCCTTTTTCGTCGGAAGTTCCCATTGCGATTCTGTGGATTATTTCACAATACAATTAAATTATTTTCTTTGATTTCAGCTGTATAGTATTGTTGAGTAGGCATAGAATCACTTAAGTCACTTAATTAAAGTAACGTTCAATATAAGTTTGCCGATGAAAAATTGAAAATTTACCTTTTGTATAGATATTCAAGTAATAAACCATCCCAGTTGATCTAGATTTCCTCTTCTCCCATCCTTCAGGAATGATCTCGTCACCTGAATCGTCCTGTGGCATTCTTAGATCCTGATTAATTAATTTAAATGCAATTTTAAGTTTGAAGCTTTATTTGTTATTTTTCCGCAAAAAATTGTTTACTGAACGAACCGAAAAAATAAGTTCACTGAACACACTAAACAGTAAATAAAATAAAATTTTAAGTAATATGGCTGATACTAACGATGATGAGTGGCTTTATGGAAGTGGAGGTGATAATCCAACATCTGAGGATGGTGATGAAGGCAAGCCTGATGAAATTGAGCTAGTAACATCAGCAAAAAGTACAAATATTGAGAAAACATTCGAAACATTCGATGAGCATAATTTTGAGGTAAAATAACTAATGGAATAAAGCATATCCATAAAACTCTATACTTATTTCTCTTTATTAGGAAGCCGGAGATCATGAACAGCTCGTTGCAGAAGATTCAAAAGACGGAAATGAAGAAAGGTAAGTATCTTGAAAATTTCACTGGATCTTTTTAACAAGGTTTCTTTAATAAACAGTCAGGAAGGTGAGGATGATGACAGTGACGATGACGACGATGATGATATTAATGTTGTTATTGGAGACATAAAATCTGGTGGTACTTCAGCTTATGTTAAAGGCTCACAAGATCCCAAACAAAAACAGCCAGGAAGCAAATTCAATATTGAGGAGTTTGAGAGTGTCGGCACGATAAATGGACAGCCTGCATTCGAGTTTGCAATTGAAAGTATTGAAGATAAACCTTGGAGAAAACCTGGAGCTGATATAACTGATTATTTCAGTGAGTATACTCATTATGTTTAATAAAGCCTGATTAAAACTAGAGTTGCAATCTGTCACAGGTCAACGAAAACAGCCCATCTGTCACAGGCCGTTACCTGTTCACAGTTCAAATTTTTTCGCCTGTCACAGGTCTGATCTGTCTAAGGTTCTACCTGTCACAGGTCACCTTTCACTATCGAAATTTTATTTCTTTTGTGAAGCATAAAGATTTAATATAAAATTCGTAAATTTTTTATATTCACACCGTTTTCACGTGTGAATCTATTGGTTTTGTTCAGATTGAAAAATCAGTTTTTCGCATTTTGTGAGAAAACAAAGCAAAATTAGTTATAAAAGGGCAAGAAGAAAAGTTTGTGCCTGAAATTTTACATCATTTTCAAAAAACAGATTTCAAATTGGTTGTGACATTGCTGAGAAAATCGCAAAATACGCTTTCTGTAAGCAAACAAGCAAGCAAGTAAGCAAGCAAGTTAATCAGCAAGAAATCTCAATAACGAGACATCGTAGAGACTTCTAGTTTTTTACATTTGATCCGTGCTGCTCTATAGAAGAGCTGTATTGTTTTTGGGCAAGGTAGGAACAGCCGTTGCTTCAGAAATGGCAAAAAACTTTCCTTTCTTACGAATTTTTTAAAACAAAAGTTGACTGTGATTCAGCTGTGATTTTTATAAAATTCAACTTTGGATGAAAATTTTTTTTAAAAAACTTTTAAAGAATATTTGGCATATTCGTCAAGCTTTATACCTTCAAACTTATGCTGAGCGTAGCTCAGCTGACTCGATAGCTTTATATCTTCAAACTTATGCTGAGCGTAGCTCAGCTGACACTCTAGCTTTATATCTTCAAACTTATGCTGAGCGTAGCTCAGCTTACGCGATAGCTTTATAACTTCAAACTTATGCTGAGCGAAGCTCAGCTGCCTCTCTAGCTTTATATCTTCAAACTTATGCTGAGCGTAGCTCAGCTTACGCGATAGCTTTATAACTTCAAACTTATGCTGAGCGAAGCTTAGTTGACTTATCAAGCTTCATACCTTCATACTTATGATGGGCAAATCTTGGTCTATCCATAAGACTTATGATAGTACGGTGTGAATATAATCCGCATTGGGTTTCTACCCGATACACTAGTTTCTTCCTCAAGTCACTGGTTCAAATCTCACTGCAAGCAACTTTCTTTTTTTTTACTTTTTTATGATTTTTTTTAACTTTTTTGATAAATTTTTCCATTTTCATATTTTCTTTTTTCGTTTTTCAAATTTTTTACTTGTATTATAATTGTTTTCCATATATTTTCATACAAATTTAACTTTTTTTTGTCATAATGTGTACACTTTTAAGTTTAATAAGCTAAAATTTGACATATAGGCTCTTTTCCTAGATCTGGATGTTCTAAAATCATAATCCTGGATCATAATATATAATAAATTACGATCCAGGATTACGATTTCAGAACATCAGGGTCTAGAAGTTGAGCTTATATGTCAAATTTTAGCTTATTAAACTTAAAAGTGTACACATTATGACAAAAAAAGTTAAATTTGTATGAAAATATATGGAAAAAATTTATAATACAAGTTAAAATTTGAAAAACGAAAAAAGAAAATATGAAAATGGAAAAATTTATCATAAAAGTATAAAAAAATCATAAAAAAGTAAAAAAAAGAAAATTGCTTGCGGTGAGATTTGAACCAGTGACTTGAGGAAGACCAAATTTACGAATTTTATATTAAATCTTTATACTTCACAAAAGGAATAAAATTTCGATAGTGAAAGGTGACCTATGACAGGTCAAACCTGTGACAGGTGGAAAAATTTGAACTGTGAACAAGTAACGGCCTGTGACAGGTGATCTTTTGACAGAATCTGTCACCTTTACCTGAGACAGGTACCTGTCGTCGCAACTCTGATTAAAACTAGTAATTTACAGATTATGGATTTAATGAAGAGACATGGAGATCGTATTGTGAGAGACAAAAGAGAATGAGAATTCACGAGTCTGGCGTTGGATTGGCTAGTCTTACAGCTGCTCAGAATCCACAACAAGGCAATTTAGGTGATATGATCCGACCAAATATTAATATTGGATTTAAGAGATTAGGAGGACCTAGATTACCAAAGCCACCGCATATAGGAACAATTGATGTTATTGGAGCTCCTTCACAAAATCCAATACGTCCACCAGCACCTAGAGAGAATATTATTCAAGTCATGACTGCAGATCGTCGTGAATATTCCAGAACTGTTGTTAATCAGCCACAAATGCCAATGCAATTTAATGTACCGCCTGAAGATTTCTATCATGAGGAGCCAGAGCAGTTTTATGGCTATGAGCCAACACAAGATTCTCAAGGCTGGGATAATCAAGGATGGGCACCAAGTGAAATAAAAGAATTAACTCCAATGAATCAACCACCTCCAATGAATCCAATGCAAGGACCACCTTTAAATATTCCACCACCAATGATGGGTAATATGGGTGGACATCGAATGCCTATGATGCCTCCACAACATTCTCCAATTCCATCATTAATTGGTAATCAAATGACAATGCCAATTAAACAAGAAATGGATGATAAAAGGGATAATCGTAGAATGGGAAATAGAGATTTCAGAGATGATCGTAGACGTGGTGATGATGATAATAGAAAAAGAATGCGATCCACATCTCGAGATCGTGATCCAAGAAAATCAGAAAGATCCAGAGATGAAAGACCTAGAGATGATAGATCACGTTCAGACAGAGATCGCTACGCAAGGGAACAAAGTAGTCGTTCTAGTAGAAGATCAAAATCGCGTGAAAGAAGTGACAGAACTAAACGTTCACGTAGTCGAGATAAAATGCGCTCAAAGTCAAAAGATAGAAAAGCTGATGATAAGGATCGAAGCAGATCCGATAAGTCAAAAAGGTCTAAAAAAGAAGATTCATAAATTCAAGTTGGTTTCAATTTTAGGTTTTTTTTTTTTCATTCATTTTAAAATAAATCGCATTGATAAAATTTATCAATTTGAAATTTTCGTTCAATAATTCTTTATAGTTCTTATAGGAATGGCAATCGTCATCCATTTAAAGAATTAATGATCTTTATCGGAATTACAGTTTAGCTATTCTTTCAAAGACAATTCTATGCAGTTTGTCCATTTACTAGTACAGTTGTATAGGATTATTATTCGCTATAGTCATGACAATAAACAAGATACGATGAGTGGATAACTTGGATATCCACAGAAAGCGCTTTATCGACGGTCGACATCTAGTGAATAACGTTAGTCGAAAAAAGTCATTTATCTGTTTAGAGTTTTTGATGATGATTTTAAGCCTGTTGAATCCGTAAATTATTTAAAAAAATATTTTAAATCAATAATTAACAAATAATTTAAACAAAACAAATATAAAAAGTTTAAATTCATCCTTTATTTACCAAGAAAAAAGTTATATTAAGCATTAGAGGATATTTTCGTGAACTGTGACATCCACTAACATGCAGACAATAAAAATGTTCGACAGTTAGATCGAAAAAACGCGTCGAATAGTTAATATTTTTTTTCATTCGCGTTTTTAATTGATAAATCTTATCAAAAACTAATTTAAAGTATCGAAAAACTAATGGATAATGGATAGTGCTGCGAGTTTTGAAGAAGATAACTCAGACAGTGATTATATGAATGTTTCATCATCATCTGAAAGTTCTGAGGAAAATGAGTTTCCAGCAAAACGTAGAACTAATCTACCAATTAAACGCAAAGATGGACTCGATATTGTTAAAAATCCATTATCAAAGCTTAATATTAGGCAATCGACGAGTCAAACATCAGTTAAATTGAGTTTAAAGAGAAAATTTCCTTTTACCAATACAGCAACAAAAAAGGAAAATGATGGAGCAGGCTTATCCACCATTAGCTTTCAAGTTTTATCGGCTTCACAATCGCCCGATGAATCGACTACACCAACAATGGAATTGGAATCAATCAATAACCCTTCATTATTGATGCCTGCCCCTCAAGCAGATGATCCTCCATATTTTCCTGAAAAATACAGTGGTAAATTATGTGCCTTTTGCAATTTAGGTGAGCGTAGTCAACTCGGACAAGGCGAAATGCTTCGCTTAGAGTTGACTGAAGAGGAATCTAAAAGTGCATCCAATTCTATGAAATCGGATTCGCAACACGGTTCCGGTTCGTATGATGAGGAATCAAAGAACGGAAATGATGATTTAAGTAAAATATTTAAGAATGCATCAAGTACATTGTTACAACAACAACTTAATCGCCGTCAAAAAGGCTTAAATAAATGCAAAAATCCAGTCATTACAACCGAATACGTTGATGAATTAGAAAAAATTGGATATACTGAGAACGTAGATTTTAACATGATAGTTGAAAACGGCTTTTATTACGTTCATCGAGCATGTGCGATGTGGTCTTTTGGTGTTGATCGTGATCCAATTAATGATACGCTAAGCAATGTCTCATTGGTGCTCAAACAAAGCTTAATTCGCAAATGTTCTTACTGTAATCATTTTGGAGCTAGTGCCGTTTGTAAAATCAACTGTCAACGAGCTTTTCATTTTCCATGTATCGCTGCATCCGGAAGTTTTCAAGACTTTCAACATTGTTCTGTTTTCTGTGTTGATCATCTCAATCATGTTCCATTAAATTGTAAGTAGTTTTTTCAACAATAATTTTTTTTATTATGATTATGTATATATTTTGATATATTCTTACAACAATTTTTCGATCTACTTTTCTTCCCTCTAATATTAAATACAGGCGATGAGGATGTTCATTGTCGTCATTGTAACACGTTAGGTGATATCAGTAATCTCATGGTTTGTTCTAAATGTGGTGATCATTATCATGGAACCTGTAAAGGATTAGCACAGCAACCTGGTGTTCGTTCAGGATGGCAATGCAATAAATGCCGATCTTGTCAAATTTGTCGCATACCAGACAATTCAGATGGTCGTACTTTAGCTTGCGAAACATGCGATAAATTATATCATCCGCAATGTTTAAGACCAATTATGGCAACAGTTCCAAAATACGGTTGGAAATGTCGATGCTGTAGAATATGCAGTGATTGTGGAGCTCGAACTCCAGGCGCTGGTGCTTCTTCTCGGTGGCATAATCATTATACCGTTTGTGATTCGTGCTATCAACAACGTAATAAAGGATATTCCTGTCCAATTTGTCGAAAAGCATATCGTGCTGCTGCTTACAGGGAAATGGTCAAGTGTTGCGTATGTCAAAAATTTGTTCACAACACTTGTGATCCAGAAGCTGACTTAAATGTTTACGAGAGAAAAAAGGAAGTTAATCCGGACTATGAATACACATGTGGTATTTGTAAATCTGCTACACAGAATGAACGTATCAATTTGGCTATTAGACGAAGTAATAGTGGAGATGATGAAAGTCTATCTGCTTCTCAAGAGAGTTTAGATGACATGGATATGGATAGTGGTGATGGAAAGTTTATTAATAGAGAAGATTATGGACTTGGTTTGGGAAAAGGAAAACCATTTGTTGCAAGTAAAATAGCTAAAAAGAAGTTAGGATTAAGTAGTAGCAACAGTGGAGTGAGTGGACAAAGACCGAAAGGAGTCGGGAAATTTGGTTTCCAAAAACGTGCAAGAACATTTGAGCTAGGCAGAAAAAGAGGTCCAAAATCGAAAATGCGAGGCGTTTTTGGTGTTCCAGGAATCGGACTTCAACGCCCAGTTGCTGATTCATCAAAACAAAATGATGAGGAACCGGGTTCAGAAAATCGTTTAGTATTGTGTTCAGCAAAAGATCGCTTCGTATTGACACAAGATATTTGTGTAATGTGTGGTGCAATCGGAACTGATCAAGAAGGATGCTTAATAGCTTGTGCACAGTGTGGTCAGTGTTATCATCCGTATTGTGTTTCAGTCAAAGTGACGAAAGAAATTTTGCAAAAGGGATGGAGATGTCTAGATTGTACTGTGTGTGAAGGATGCGGAGACAAAAATGACGAAGCAAGATTAATCTTATGTGATGAGTGCGACATTTCATATCACATTTATTGTATGGAACCTCCATTAAATACAGTTCCTCATGGCACTTGGAAGTGTAAATGGTGTGCAATTTGTGTTAAGTGTGGCTCAAATGAGCCTGGAAATAATTGTTGTTGGCAGAATAGCTACACAGAATGTGGACCATGTGCGAGTCAATCTTATTGTTCAGTATGTAGTGAAACTTATAGTGATGGAGAGCTAATAATGCAATGTACTAGCTGCGATAGATGGCTTCATTGCTTGTGTGATTCAATTAAGAATGAAATAGAAGCTGAAAAGTGTGCAGAAGAAGGTTACATATGTGTGCTATGTCGCCCCAAAGATATTCTACCACCACACTTGCAAATCAAGAAAAAACCTCAACCTGTATCCACACAATCATCAACTACAAAAGAAGAACCTTTTGATGAAAATGATACTATAATATCACTTGCACTTGATGGAAGTCACTTTGTTGATGGCGTATATTTGAGTGAGCATGGGATGCAATTTATTAAAACACTTCAAACAGAACCAAAACGAGCAAAACGAAGACCAAAAGTAGCACCAGAAGTTGACAAAGATGCGGGTATTTTAGCAGCAATAGAATCTGTGGTAGCTGGTAGTGCTGACAACTCAATGGAAGACATCAAATTGGAGTTAATGGATCCAAACGAAGAAGCTCAAATCTATAAAGATGGTATGACTTGGTCAAATACAGAGCCAGCACCCGAAGGATTTTCACTCTTCACAAATGAAAGTGGACAAGTTATTTTGCGTAAAAAGAGACAAAGAAACTTACAAAAATTGGGTATTGGTGGATTTGCCGTTCGCAATAGAGCTGTACGAACAACTAAGAATGATGAAGAGCCATCAAACTTAACCAATGAAGATGCGAAAAAGAAGAAACCAAACCGACGAAAACAAAAGAATAAATTAGTTGAAACATACCCAACGTATTTACAAGAAGCATTTTTCGGAAAACCATTAATGGATTCGAACGTGAAGGTGAAGTTAGAATTGAGTAGCAGCGACGATGAAACAAAAAGTAATGTTTCTGATGACAAGACTATAAAATTATCATTAGATGAATTAAAGATGATTGAAGCTATGCGAGCCAAACAGCAACAAAAATTAGAAGAAGAACAAAAATTGATTGAAAAAACTCAACCTGCATTGCAATCACCACAATTAATGTCGAATGGAGCTCAGATTCAATTGAATCAGAAGATGCAGCAACAAAATGAGCTCACATCACAAGGGCAAAGTTCAAGTGGATCTATGACAGGATCAAATAGTCAAGATGCTAGTGCATCATCTGATCTTATTCAAGCTGCTGATATTAAAGCAGAATTGGATATCATGGATGATGATGAGAACAATAGTGATACTGAAGCATTAAAAGATGTCCTCGGACTACCTGGTGATCTATTAGATAATGATTTAGTCAATACAATAATGAATGAAGACGATGATCTCACTAAAAATACAGCCGGTCTTGAAGATGTAGATGTTAAAGGTGTTAAAGATGATTTGGCAGATATACTAAGTCCTCATTTCAACATTGATATGGAAGATATGTTATTTAAGAGTGTATTAACGGATGAATCGCAAGAGTCTCAGGAATCAGCACTTACAAACTCTCTCACATCGTACTCAACTCAATCGACACCATCTCATCAATCGGAAGTACAGTCAATACATCTAAATCAACCAACAACTCCATTGCAAACAAGCAATATGACACAATTGCAATCTCCACAACCTTCAAATACGAACATGAATCCTATGATGCAACCACAATCCCCACAAATTAATACTCAAATCAATCCTATGAATCAACATATAATGTTACAGCAGCAGCAGCAACAACAACAACAACAACAACAACAACAAGTTAATAATCCAATGCATGTACAGCAACCAATGATGCAGCGACAAAATTCTTTGCCGGGACCGCCAGGAATGGCTGCGGCTCAAAGAGGGTACAATTTTAATGAATTTGGCTTTAGGTATGGATGGAAATGCTTTCATTTAGGAATGATACATACACACATTCAAAATTGCATCATAATAGTTATGCTATATCACATTACATAAATTAATTAATGCATTACTCTAGCACAAAACTAAATATGCAATTTCATGAAAATATATTCCATCCTAATCCTTCCCTTCACATGAGAACTTTTATTTTTCACACATTTTTTGGATTGCTCATTACACATAATAATATTTTTTATACATTCTTATCTCATTAATAAAATTTATATATATTCTCAGACCACAATTTAATACTACAACGGTATTTCCAAATCAACCACAATGGACTAGCCAACCAATCGATAGTGATTTTGATTTGGGTTCTAGTAGTATGAATACTGTTCAATCGACTCAAGCACCGAAAGTGAATAATCACCAGAAAAACTCAGAACGAATGTCTGAGGATGAAAGTAAGTGAAATCGTATTGAAGTTAATTGCTCTTATTTATTGGTAATATTGTCAAACAGAACTTGGCGATATGTCGACAATATCTGCTGTCTTATATGCAAATCAAAATCATCCTGAATTGAAAATTGAATATCCACACTGGCCAGATCGTTATAAGCAAATAATGAAAAAATGGCGCGCATTATCGTCTGACAAGAAGCAACCGTATTTGCAAAGAGCTAGAGATAATAGATCAGCACAGCAAGCGCAATTGAGAACAAAGAAAGCCCAACAGGTAAGCAAAAAATATATTTCATTAAACTCGCTTCAATTAGGAAGCTTTTGATCAAGAATACACAAACTATATACATGAACGATAGAAAAAAATTGGAAAAAATATTCATGAAAGTCGACAGGAAAGTTATCATTTCTCTTTCATCATTTCTTAAATATATTTTGCAAATTCTCATCAGGACTTGCTTCATCCATTTTTATTTATCTCATTATATTATTTAAACGACCTATCATATGACAATAATATGATTATTTGAGTTTATCCTATGCACTCTGTCCACGTAGTGTTGTTTGTCTGCCTACACACGAGATTTTAAAAGATTTTCTCTTTGAAATTAGTAAAGCTAGAAAAAAGTTTTAAAGCGGGATTCTTCGAAACTTAAGTAGAAAATGATCGTTATATGTCATGTGATAAACATTTGTACCTTTTTATGATTTCACTTTATGTATTTTGTTTATTGACTTCATCTCATAACATAAAAAAAAACCTTAAATCAACTAACATTTGAAGTGGCCATAAATATTATTTTCCATATCACATTCATGAATATGTATGTATCTCCACTCCGTCATAAAGTATTTCCCATACATTCATAGATACACAAGACTATACACATACACACAGTTTAAGTCTCGTGTTAAAACTATTTTGTTTTTTTTTTGATAAGAAATTTAAAAAAAAAATTATGAAAAAAATATTGTAAATCACGTAAAACAAACCAAAAAATCATTCCCTCATCAATAATTAGGTGGCTCCTGACTTATCACCCGATAATGGAACCACGAGCACAAATAGCACATCTCCCGCACTGAGTTCAACCCTATCTGAATCATCATCACTAATGGATTCTAATATGATTCAACAAACTACTACAACGACAAATATTGGTGGACAACAACAAATACAAGTGGTAAGAAATAATCAGCAGTCCCCAGGGCGCAATTCTTCTTCCTCCTCTTCTTCTTCTACTACTTCTAAAATGCCGGAAAATATACTTGACACTAATGCTTTTGATAACAAAAATGAATCGTCATCTCCTTCTTATAATCATAACAATAATAATAATAATAATTTACTAATAATGGCAAATGAGCACAAAGACTTTAGTTGTAGTATTGGTGATGAAATTAATAATGTTGTTAGATCCCCTATTTCCAATAAAAACAGTAACAATAATGCCAATAATAATAAAAATAATAATGATGATAATATGATAGTTGATAAAATATCAGAGTCTGATGATACACAAAAGTCTCAAGATTCTGTGAGCAGTAGAGAGTTGAAGCAAACGAACTTAACAGAGACTTTTAGTAAAAATGATGTAAATATTGTTAATAAGAATGCAAATATCTCAGTTGCTAGTAACATAGCAAATGCTTTCATTAATCTATCAACTTTCAACTCTTCAACTACAACGCCAAAGACTAATGGAAACAATCTATCAAGTACAAGTGGGATAGCAGCTCAGACAAAAAATATGAATGTCATTGTGACCCAACAACAATTATCAACGCAACATTTTATGAAAACCTTATCGTTTACAACATCTCGTGGAATTTTTGTACCGAATGTAATTGCAACAAATATAACGCCGCAGTTTACTGTACATCAGTATGGACTTCATGGCAATACGAGTGGACCAGCACCGAATGTTACGGTGAATCCGAATGGAAATTTCAATACAAATTCAAGTGCCACAATTCGTCCTGGAATTTCAAATCATTTTCGATTACTTTTGCAACAGCCACCTCAAAATATTAATTTTAATGTAATTAATCAGAATCAAAGTCAAAACAACAATAACTCAACAAATCAATCGCCTATACTTGAAGCGTCACTTCAAAGTATTGCAAAAGAGGCCACTATGCAAGCCTCAAAAGTTCTACCTACAAAAACCATTTATCCCAATCAAATCATTCATCCGCAACGCTCAGTCACGCCTTTTACAGCAGCTGTACAACAACAACAAAAGCATAGCGATGAACAAAATACTGAAACTAGTCAGGCAGAAGATACGTCAGCATTAAATGCTACCGATCAACATATACGTGTACTAACTCCTTCAGAAATAATGAAAACATTACCCTCACTTTCTTCGCATGATAATGTATCCTTTAGTAGTATATCATCAAGCACTACTAACACTAATGCTATTGATAAACAGTCAAACGAAACCGATCCTATTAATAGTTGTAAAAAATCTCAAAATCAAGACACATCAGGCTCTGTTAGCTCAATTATTTCCAATAATTCTGCCATCTCTTCTCCTATGACCATCACCACAACCACCATCACCTCAGAATGTTGTAACACTTTTAGTAGTCATTTCACCATCACTAAAGCAACTGCTATGTCTTCTACTACTTCTAATAATGCACAGATAATAATGGTGAGAGGATACAAAACGTATAAAAATATTTTTTATTTCTCTTATCATTTTAAGATGAATTTTTTTTACTTTTTTCAATTTTTAAGTTCGCTGTGTCATTTTTATCGTATTTCTGTAAACGATCGTTTTTTTGATCTCGAGATATATATATTTATGATTTCTAAGGTTTTTTATAATTTCTTTTCATTCTTAATGTTGTTCTTTATATTGATCTATATATTAAAGTATTAAATCTATAGAAGATGAAAAGATTGAGAATTCGGGATTCTTATTTTCATTTTTTATGCTTTTTATTTTAGAAGAAAAAAAAAATTCAATTTTTAAAGTGTCACAATATTTTTTGCGTTTTATATCTGAAGTAATATGTTTTACTAACCCTTAGTTCCTATATTAGATAATTACCCTCTTCCTCTATGCATGATCAACAAAATTTTAATTACTAGTAATATTTAGAAAATATAATAATTGCATGTAAAAAGTGCTAAGAAAAGACAAATTCATTCAGATCAAAAGGAGCATGTCAGAAGCTGTTAATTTTTAATTTCTTCACAGTTTGGACGTTTGATGAATTTAATTTTTTGATGATGGCGAGTCTTAGCAAATGGTTGAATAACTTTTCTTGCTGAGACTAATAACAAAATTTGACGATTTGTCGCTATGCATTTATTCACAAAAATATTTCTCTTTTTAAAGGATCAAGATAAAATTACTGCTCAACAAAAGAGTATCAAAGAGGCAGAACAAGAGCGTCAATGGAAACTATTGCAAGCTCAGCGTGCTCGTGAGCAACAGCTTGGTATGCCACCTGAGCATCAACGCATGAACGGTAAATACCATCGATCAAATCCTTTTTATTTATACTTCATTAATATTAACAATCCAAAAATAGATCCGAATCTTCAATTGCAAATTTCTACGACTTTAAATGATGGATCGATGAGTCCAGTTGCAAGTCCTTCACCAAACTCTCGAAATCAATTTATGGTACCACCAAATAAGGGAAGAATGATGATCAATCCTCAAAGTCCAAGTGCTACTTGTACTAATTTCCAACATCCTGGACGTCCAGTTTCACAACTCCAACGTCAACAAAGTCAACAGCGTATGAATCAAAGTCCATTCTCTCCACAAACGTCTACGCCTCAATCACCCAATGATCTCTTTCCTGGATCACCATCAGCTGATGGCTTCCAGAGACCTCCACATGATGAACAACAATTTTTGCATTCACCACAAACACCAAAACCTATGCCGCAACAGCAATCTCCAGTTCATACACCTGGCACTCCTAACAGTGCACCAAATATGAGTCCAGTGTATGCTCAAGTAATTAATCAGCCTCCTCAGCAACAGCAACAACCACAACAAGTTGCAAATATTGGTGGATATGTTCAAGCTCCTGGAACTCCACGTCCTACATTCAATCCTGGGCAAACCAGAACAACTGTTTATGCTCGTCCTGATATGTTTAGCAAGCCACCATACATTCAATCACAGACAACAAATCATGAACATAATAATAGACAATTACGTGATTTATTACAAAGAACTCAGGCACCAACTAATATGCCTGGACCAGCTCAAAATCCGATGCAACAAACATTTACACTTGATAATGAATTAATGAAGAATCAACAACAGAGTCCAACAAGTCCTTTAATTCAAAATAATCCATTAATGCAGAATAATCAACTTCTTCAGAATAATCAATTGATACAAAATAGTCAATTGATTCAGAATAATCAATTAATGCAGAGTAATCAGTTAATGCAAAACAATCAGTTGATGCAAAGTGGTCAAATGATGCAAAATAATCAGAATCAGGCAGGTGATAATACATTCCGACAGCCACTTCCACCAGGTATAAGACAGCAGAGAGTGCAATCCATGGTTGGTGGAAAAATGATTCGTTCAAGTACTCTTAGTGGACCTCCACAGCCTCAGCAACGCATGATTATGACACCAGAAAATCACAGACCTAGATTACAAATAAGACCTGGTATGAATATAAATCAACAACAGATGCTTAATGAACAACAGCAACAACAAATGAATCAAGGCCAAATGGCACAACAAAGAATGCCATTAACACCTACTGGTAATTTTGGCAATGTACAGAATGAAATGATTCAACAGGTACAACCTGGTATGATTTCTGCAAATAATGCTAATAATCCAAATCAGAATATGATCATGACACAGAGAATAGTAGTTCAGAATCCAAATATTCAACATACTATGCAAAGTGGGCAAATTAATCAAGCTCATAATGCAGCTGGAGATGTTAATATACCAACTAGTCTACCTCAACATGCACCAGATGCTGAGGGTATCCCAGAATCTGTAACTGCTGAGCTAGAAAAACTCGAACAAGATGAAAACGTTGGAATGGATGGAGTTGGTGATATCTTAGGAGGACTTGGAGATGATGATGATGATTTATTAGATTCATTGACTGCTGAAATGGGTGCAGATTTCAATATTTTGGAATATGGAGATCCAGAGCTTGACTCAACAGATGAAAAGTCAACACTTCTTGACAGTTTAGAAATGGATGAAGGTGAAAATGCAAAAGAAGAAAAACTTAAAAATATTGAAGTTGAAAAGATAGCTAAAGCTAATTTCCAAAGATCGGTAGAAATGAGTAATGCCAATGTACCACAAAATCCTCAATTGAATCGCATGCCCATGCAAGTTCCAAATCAACCAATGCCTAATCAAATGACACCAAGCACTGAATCTCAACCTATGGATCAAAATCCTGGAACACCTCAAAATCAACAACAATCTCCTATTCAAAATCCTCAAATGTTCCAGCAAGCAAATGTTCAGAGACAAGTTCGTTTTAAAGCGCAAATTCCGCCGAATCAAATGACAGAACTTCAACACATCCATCAACAAATGATGCTACAGGTATACAAAGATTTTAATTTGATTTAATAAGATAAAGTTATAAAATTTCAATTATTATAGCTTCAACAAGCTGCAGCTCAAGGAAAACCAATGCCAATTGGTACTCGATTAGTTGCAAACAATCCAGGAGGGCCAATAACTGGAACAGTTACAGGTCCAAACAACATATCGCTATCATTTCCAACAGGGTAAGTTTAACTTTTATGAATATCGAAACTTTAAAAGGTAAATATTATTTTTATATAATAGTGTTCAGCGTTTACCACAAGTGCGAATGGTTAATCCAAATATTCAAGGAAATCAAAATAATCAACAAAGAATGGTATTACCACATATGATTCAAAATCGACCTAACATGATGCAAAACACTCAGCAACAAGTTAATCCAAATATGCAAAATATTATCGGGCAACAACAACAGCAACAAGTTGCTCCACCACCACCTTATCCTGAACCCCCTCCACCATATCCTGGACAAACACAAAATCAGGTAGGAATTATGATACTTTGGTTATATATTTATTCAAAATATTTTTTTCTTTGGTGTGAGTTTTTTTTGACATTTTTCAAAACAATTTTAAAACTTTTTATTTCGATTATTTTTAAAAAAAAATGAAAGACAAAAGGCATTAACAAGAACATTTATTTATTGATTTCTCAAAACTGCATGCTTTCAAATTGATTGTTTGTTATATTTCAAATCTGATTGATAATATTGCCAAAAAAAAAGTTTTTTGACTTTTCGTATAAAAATAAATACGATTCACTACAGCAGCATTCGTCTACTTCAAAAATGTTGCATCGTCCTTTGCTTTTACAGGTGAGAAAAAGAAAATCAAACCATTCATACCTAAGCCTTTGCAAAAGCTAATACCAATGATATACACATAGGACACACGATATATTCGTCAATATAATTATATAATTTTTTAAAGACCATAGAAACTCACAATTTTTGGCAATTTATTGTTATTATTTTATTTTTTTACCTGAATGTTGCTTTTTGTAATTTAGTGCCATAGTATGTAGAATGAATGTTATCCAAACCTTTATAATCAATATCATTTTAATGAGTGACTTTAATTTTCGTTATGCTCTTTATAGGAACAGCCGTTATTGCTTGAGGATTTATTGGAGCAAGAGAAGCGTGAACAGGCTAGAAATATTGGTTCAGCTCAGGTTGTTGATATCAATAATTCTCAGAATCAACAACAAAACATACTAAGCGATCAAGTAATTAAATGAAACTTTCCAGACTGGAATAAATACTTTAATGACATTTTATTTTAACAGGATTATGAAAAACTACGACCAGATGTTTTAACAACGACTACTCAAAGCGTTACTATGACGCAGCAAATTCCACAGCAACAGCAATTTGTTCCAAGGGGTATAGTAACGAAGCAATGGCGTCCTCAAACACCTGGTATTTCTAATGCTCAAGCTCCTTCAACAAGCCCCGATCTTGTTCGATCAGTTCCAATTTATAATGCTAATTTGCAGCCAATGCCTCCAACTCCACCTGAAAATATTCTCACTGAGACTGATAAACAGACTCAGACAAACTTTGAAGCTTGGCTTAATACTCAACATGATTCATTACAAAAGCAATTGGGTTATTATGAAACTGAAATTGCTGAATTGAGAAAATTGAAAAAGTCTCTTAATACCAAACAGCGTCAATTGAAAAAGAATGGAAATGATTTAACTGAAATTGATGCTCAGACTTTAATGAAGGTTTCTCAAGAGCAGGCAACAGTACAAAAGCATCTAGAAAATGCTCGAAAGCAAGTGCGAAACCATTTGAATATTAGGCAAGATTATGAAAATAAACAAAAATCGAAACAAATTGCAAACAATCCTCATATTCCTCATATGGTTCAATCACCTGTTGGAATGAACGATCAATCTCCAATGATGTCACCATCACCAAATATTATTCAACAACCAGTGCAATCGCCTCATGGTCAAATTATGGGGCCATCTCAAAGCCCACTTCATTCACCAAGTCCTATGATGAATTTACAGAGTGCTCAAAGTCCTGGACCAAATTCAGTAATGCAAAGTCCAAGTACACATATGAATGCTATGTCACCATACAATACAACACAACAATCACCTAGAATAGGAACTCCACATTCACAAATCGACGAAAGTCCCTTTAGTCCGAATTCAGGACCAATTGAATCACCATCAATGAACAATCGATTGACTTCACCAATTCCTAGAATGACATCTCCTCAACACCGTCCTTCAACACCAATGCAAATTCAAATGATGAACCGAATGAGTGGACAACAAGTGCAATTTAATCAACAACCAAACATGAACCAACAAAATCGTTTTATCCGTCCACCAATGATTTCGAATGATGGAAATAATCGAATGAGGATGCCTACAGCATTCCAACAAATGCCACATGGTGGTAATATAATACGTCAAGTGCAATATAATACAATGGATCCAAATGGAAATCCACAAAATGTTCAAACAATTACCACCGGAAATCAAAATATTAGTATTGAAGCACAAAGAGCCTTACAAATAAGACAAATGCAAATTAGACAACAGCAGATTATGAAGCAACAGCAACAGCAAATGAATCAACAACAACAGATGAACCAACAAATGAACCAACAACAAATGAATCAGCAGCAAATGAACCAACAACAAGGACAAATGAATCAAATGCAGCAACAACAAGGACAAATGAATCAAATGCAGCAACAAATGTCTCAAAATCAGCAAATTGTCATGACTAATCAACCTAATCAAAGTCCAATTCATCAACAGCCACAATCGCCAATAATCAATCAAAATGCAACTTCACCAATGCCTCGAAGTCCTATGATTCATTATCAACATCAAAATCCAAATAGTCCAATGATGAATGTTCAAGGAATTGATAATTCACCAAGACAAATGTATATGCAACAACAATCTCAGATGATGGATCATGGAAATAATCAAAACATGATGCAAGGTGGTGGTGGTAGTGGAGGAATGATGAATCAAGATAACATTCCATGCGATCCAAATCTTATAAGATCTAGACCAATAAAATTAGGTCTTAAAGGTGGAGCACCAATGTTTGGTAATGGAAAGGATAACAAAAAGCAAACTGTGAGTTCCGATATGTTGCAGTTAATAAAAAAAATTCAACAGCAACAACCACAGCAGCAACAGCAAACAACTATTACAATTGATGCACAAAGAAACATTCCTGGAAAAATGATTCCAACGGCGATATCATCTGCAGAATTACAACAAGCTTCAAGTAGTAGACAAATCCAAATAAAACCAAAAACATCTCTTTTAAAGAATCCTTTGGCACCAAAAGTGAAATCATTAGTGGATTATGATGATAACGATTCATCAAATGGAACTCCACCGATCAGTCCATTATCATTAAAAGTCAAGCAGAGGTTGCAAGAAAAATCAGATGACGTTGTTATAGTTGATAGTAGTCCTGACGAGAAACAGAGATTAACAGATTATGATGATGATAACGACAAGATTGTATCATTAACTGAAGTCTCATTAAATTCAACGGCTCAGGATATTGGCGATGCTGACACGATTGTAGAAGCTTTTGATGGAAGTGAATTAGTTTCAAGCCCATTAGTGACTGAACAAGAAGCCACAGATTATACTCTCTTTGAATCCCATGTTGTACATCTCGATGATAGTAATGAATCTATGAAGGAAATTATTAGTTCTGAATTGCTTTTTGATGATGAAAGACCAAAAGCTTCAACATCGAAAAATGAAGAAGTTATGTATGTCATACAATCTGAGAAAGCAAAGAATCTAAAAAATGTTGGGACTCGTGAAGATTTTGAAGCTATGATTGATTCAGGAAAGGACGAAGAAGAGAATGAGAGTGAAACTGAAGTAATAGCAATTGAAAAATGTGAGCAATCAGATCAAGAGATTATTGGAAAACCTATTGAGATCAAACAAAATAGAATAATTACGAAAGCTATATCAGATGCGAAGCAAATTAAATTTCCAGTTGTACTCTCGTCTGCTACAAATTCCGTGTCTTTAACCTTGCCAGCTAATATAATGGGGAGAACAAATTTATCAACAACTTCTATGTCATCTGCAGCAGGATTAGCTCATAATAAATTGGTTAAATCAGCAACACAAACAACAGCTAAAGTCTCAATTGGAAACACAACGATATCAGTTCCAGTTGTTTTGAAGAATATGTCAGATTCTCAACAAGGTTCAAAGAAAATAATAACAACAAGCGCTTTGACATTGTCAAACTTGAAAAAGAATCCAAATATGATAAGTGTCTCTGGACAAAAAATAAACACATCAGCTATTGTTACTCTTTCATTAAACAAAGGAAATACACGACCAATTCAAACTGTAGATTTCAAGCAGCGAATTCATCAAAAGCCTGGACAACAGTCAATTATTGTATCAGCTGCACCATCAGGATATATAACATCACAACATAACGATCATCAAACTATAACTGTAACAAGTATTCAAAATGCTTCTGTTATTAACAAGTTATCAGTTAGTTCATCACCGATTTTGACGTTTTCAAAAATACCCACACTTACAATGACTCAAGATACATCTTTGCCTAATAAAATACTTGAAGATGATGATGTCTCTCCTGATCATGATGACAAAACATCTGGGGATAAAAACAAAGAAGCAAAAAATAAGAAAGAAAATTCTAATAATAAAATTACAAAGACTATTGGAGGAAATGAAGAATCTAAAGAAGGAAATGTGGAAAATAAGCCCAAGCCAATAATTCCAGTTCATGTTATTATTAAATCACATGAATCATCACAAAGTCCAATATCAAATCCGGTGCAAGTACAAGCTCAGCGTGTAGTGTCTGGAAATATGTCGCAACTTTCCCCATTATCACAACCAATTGAAATTAATACAAACACACACAACGCGACACAGCAAATCCGTTCAATATTGTCTTCAATTGACTCTAATGAAGATTCAAAAAATAAGGCGGAAGGCGAACAATTCAGTATACCAACATCTACACAATTAAATATACCGAAAACGATAATACGAAGTTCTTCAACACCGACAACATTAACTCAAACGTCAAATGATACAAAGATAATTATTACACAATCTAGCACCTCAATTCCATCGTCATCGATTGTCTCCAACTCTCAGCCAAGCAATGTATTGTTTGTAAAACAAATTAAAGCTCTACCACCCTCAGTGACATCTACAGTAACAAGCAATCCAACTATTGCAATAGTTTCTCAATCGTCAGCGGAGCAACAAAGCTCTTCATCCGTTATTATTTCAACGAAACCTAGCAATCTACTGAGTATTCTGAGTAATCAGCATCAGAATTCAGGCGCGCAGCAACAAAGTATGAAAATAAATGATGGAAAAGTAGAATTACCTCTGACTGATAATACAAAAACTGTAACGATTTTAAAGTCAAATCCAACGATAACGAATTTACTCAATTCCAATTCATTCAAACGCTCGAAATCAAGCGATGATGTAATCACAACAAAAGAGGCAAATGATGCTATTATAAACAAACGCTTAAGTTTTGAAGTTTCTAATGAAATTAAGAAAGAACCATTAGATATCCCAATTATTAAAGAAAGTACACCAACAATTATAACAACACCGATTATGAATATTATTAAAACTGAACCATCTTCTGCACCGTCAACTCCAACAATACCAAAAATAATTAATACACCACCTCCACCAAAGCCAGATGACTCTAACGTTTTGCTCAAACAGCTTTTGCAAAATTCTGGTTCAAATACGCCTGGAAATCCACCAATGACAAGATCAGTTCCTGCATTAATGAATACTCAACGTGCACCAAGTTTGGGTGTCTTTAGCTCTCTAGAAGCACAGTTAGCTCGTCCAGTTATACCTCCTGTCCCAGCAAAGCAAGTTATTGTTACTACACAACCACTTGTTGTGAGCACAATGACATCACTTCCTGCAACCACAACTTTATCAATAACTACAAGTGAGCCAATGAGAACAACATCAACGAATATCACTAAACTGTTGCCAATTCACGAAACCTCATTTGTTTCACAACCATCTCAAATCATTTCAAATCCACCTCAAATAGCAACATCTATTTCATCACATAACTTAATTTCGAGTGAAAAGAAGCCAATAGTTATTTTGAACAGAAATGACATTCCCCAAAGTGTAGCAAATCTTTCTAGCTGTAATATTGTGAGTATTTAAATATAGTTATTAATATAGTGTTGACTAAATAAATAATTTCATTTCAGCCAAAAACAATAATATCTCCACTTACAACAATTGAAAATATGGCTCCACCAAATATGACTGGACATCAGATTAAGAAAGAAATGGTATCGCCCGGTAGTTCAATAAAATTAAGTCAATCACCCACTCACATTGTCCAGCCCCAATTAGTGAAAAGTATATCTCAGTCATCATTAAATTCGGGAAATACAACACCAGTGCCAATGGAATCACCTTTAGTTGACATTAAGAAAGAAATGGACGATAGTTCACAATCAGAATCAATAAGTTCTGATGTAAGTATGGTGAAAACTGAAAATCTCTTTCATACACCGTCATCACGTGATGGTATGAATGAGCATTTAGATGAAAGTCCAGCGAAAACTGCTCAAGAAATAGCAAACGAGTTGAAGAGAAAGAAGCGACGTGAATATCAAAAAAATCGTCGTCAAATGCAGTTGTCAAAAGAGAAAGGAGTTGGAGGAGTCAAAAAGCCAAGAAAATTGCAAAAATCAGAAGAAGATTATGATTCGTTTATTGACAATCTGATGATTCAGATAAAGTCGCTTCCACAAATGCAAATTTTGGAACCACTTTTACCTAAAAATTTCGGCGTATGTCCAATATACGGATCGAGTGAATTAAACAAGATCAATGCACTGAAAAAATATGACATCGAATGTGGTGAACTAAATGGAGCATATGGAAAGGGAGAGCTCTCTTTTATTTCTGACTTTTACAATACAAAACCTTTTGGAATATTGGAACCGAAGCCTGAAAAAGCTGCAACTTCAACTCAACGTGGATTTTATGATCAAGAATTTCCACCACTTAAGTTCGATGAGGAGGAGAAAGCTCATCATAGAAATAAGTATGATATACTAGCAAAAGATCGTGATGTCGATACACCTGATACAGTTGTCAGTTCTTCAAGTCCTGAATGTGTTACTATAAGAAATCCTAATCGATTCCCAGGATTGAGGCTAATAAGAGAGGAAGAAGATGCGGAAATTGAGGAAGAAATGTCAAGCTTTATTGATAACAGAATGTCGCCTTCAATTCCTACAATTATCGCTCCAATACCCATTCGACTGAAAACTGGCATCTCACTTACAAATGACAATAAATCATTCACAGATAAGGAGTTTGAATCATCAAAACAACTTGGTCTTAAATCATGCTTTGAGCCACCAACTTCAGCTAAAGATAACAACAATAATAATGTAACGGTAACGTTGACATTAACATCTAATGCTGCTGAAGATATAATGGGTGTTTTAAAGTCTTTAGCAAATATTTTAAATATTCCTGCACCTACAGCATATCAAATTGTTGAACGCACGACCACGCCACCAAGTCAAAAACTAGGACTTTACAGAATCAAAGGCAAAGATGGAAAAGAAGGACAACCAGTTGATATTCAAACGATATTAAATGGAACAGCAAAATTCTGTAGACACTGTGATGTAGTTATATTAAATAATACTATCAAGGCAATAGCTAGTGAATTTCCATTATTGATTAATACAGAATTAGAATCAGATGAGTTCTATTTCTGCGGTCAAACATGCTATAAACAATTCCAATGGCGACCGATAAATATGTTGGATGATAAGAGCTTAGGTTCAGCTATATCTGACGATAAGGCTTTAGAAACAATGTCAGAAAATATATCAAAGGGAGACATAAAAGGAGATATTAATCAATCAAAAGAACAAACTAGCTCCAAGAGAAAACATGAAGAAATTGAGGAAACAATTGAAAGCAAGGAAGAAATATTGCAAGAGGAGAAACGACAGAAGCTTATGCGTATCAAAACATTTGGAGCAAATTGCTTTACGCAAACTCATAAGCAAAAGAAGCTTACTGAACGAGATATTACTGAAATGCTATTTAGAATGAATATTACTGTAAATTCTGCACCAAAGATTCTTGACGATACAAGGAAATGTATATTTTGTCATCAATTTGGAGACGGTGTTGCTGATGGACCGTCACGTTTATTGAATTATGATGTCGATAAATGGGTTCACTTGAATTGTGCATTATGGTCTGATGGTGTGTATGAAACCATAAATGGTGCATTAATGAATCTCGAAGCTGCTCTTCAGCAGAGTCTTAATTCAGTATGTACAATATGCAATCAATTAGGAGCGACAGTTAAGTGCTTTAAGGCACGATGTGGAACGTTGTACCATTTGAACTGTGCAATGAAAGATAATTGTGTATTTTATAAAAATAAAACAACAATGTGTAACATACACGCACCAAAGTCAGAGAAAGATAATGAACTAACAACATTGAGTGTACAGCGTCGTGTTTACATTGATCGTGATGAGAATCGACAAGTTGCGTCAATTATGCATCATTCGGATCTTTCAAATCTCATGAGGGTCGGAAGTTTGATTCTTCTAAATGTAGGACAATTATTACCTCATCAACTTCACACATTCCATACACCAAACTATATTTATCCAATTGGCTTTAAAATCATTCGATTCTTCTGGTCAATGAGAAATCCAAATAAACGATGCAATTACGTATGCTCGATCGCTGACTCAGCTGGACGACCAGAATTCAGAGTAATTGTAAAGGAACCAAGTGAAGAAGATATCGAACTTAAAGATGAATCTCCTAAAAAAGTTTGGCAAAAGATCTTAGAATCTATAGTCAAACTTCGAAGGGAAAATAAACTTGTTCACATATTCCCAAAATACATATCCGGCGAAGATCTTTTTGGTCTAACAGAACCAGCTGTTGTTAGAATTCTAGAAAGTTTACCTGGAGTTGAGACTTTGAACGACTATCGCTTCAAATACGGAAGGAATCCATTATTAGAATTACCACTAGCTATAAATCCTTCAGGTGCTGCACGTACTGAACCTAGACAAAAGCACGCAGTTCCATTTAAGAAGCCTCATACTCAACGAACAGGGTCATCTAGTCAAAGACCAGCTTTTGTTCCATCATCATCAGCTGGTGAAGTTGCTTGCCCATACAGGTTTGTTAACAACAATGACTTTACTGAATTCTTCATTCTAAAATATATTATTTTATTCCTTTAGCAAGCAATTTGTACATTCAAAGAGTTCTCAATACAAGAAAATGAAATTAGAATGGAGAAACAACGTTTTTCTCGCAAGATCAAAAATTCAAGGCTTAGGACTTTACGCAGCTCGTGATTTAGAGAAGCACACGATGGTCATTGAATATATCGGGGAAGTCATTCGTGGAGAATTGTCAGAACTGAGAGAGAAGCAATATGACGCTAGAGTAAGATTATTATATATTTTTTCAATAAGTTTAAATTATTAATAAAATTGTTTAATTTTTTTAGAACCGAGGTATTTACATGTTCAGATTAGATGAAGATCGTGTAGTCGATGCCACTTTGAGTGGTGGACTCGCTAGATATATAAATCACAGCTGCAACCCGAATTGTGTCACAGAAATTGTCGAAGTTGACCGCGAATATCGCATTATAATATTCGCAAAACGAAGAATTAATAGAGGAGAAGAGGTATGCATTATAATTAATCTAATTTAAAATGTATTAAGACTAATCAAGTCTTCTTTTCAATGCAGCTATCATACGATTACAAATTTGATATTGAAGACGAGTCAAGGAAGATTGCATGTCATTGCGGAGCAGCATATTGTAAAAAGTACATGAATTAAGACAATACATTGTCTGAAAGGAATTTATGTTTAAAAGAAGAAATCATATTGTAAATTTAAACTGTATGCATGAATATATTTAAAAAATATACATATATATGTATATATATATATATTTTAACCATAAGAAAGAATAAACTAATTACATATATGTAATAGATTTTTGTAATAATGATTATTATATGCAAAAGAAAGAAGTAAAATTATAGAGAAAATATAAATAAATTTATTAGATTTATACAATTAACTAGAGTGGGTTTGAATATTATTATTATTTCAGATGAGAATCTAAAAAAGTTTCAAAAAATTGCAAAACTCTTCTAGCTGCAACAATTTTTTGCCGCAGCGATCAGTACTTGATTATCATGTATATGAGCATCAAGCAAATACTATTTAAGCTATAAAAAAATAAACTTTTTAAATTTTAACAGTTTTTAAAGATTTGAAATTAAAGAGCTATTTGCTCGATAAAATTAAGATAATAAAACAAAAACAAGCTCTTTCCGATGCCTAGATATAAGGTTAACAGCAACGTATAATAAAAATTCAAATTCAAAAATACCGCGCAATTAAAGTTGAAAGCCCCGTTATTTAAAAGATTTCCAACCCTTGATCGCACAAGCAAAAGAATTAATTCGTTTTATTAAATTTACCACGTTAATTAGAGTAAAAATGCGATTTATATATTAAAAAATGGATAAGAAACCGATAGTGAATAAGACAATCAAAACGATTGTCCCAATAAAAGGAAATTTACTCGAGAAAATCAAAAATAAGTTAAAACATAATGGTAAACAAATCAATGTGATTGGAAAAAATTAGTTTTTAAAAATGCATTTCGTTCTAGGCTCAAATTCAGCGACTTCTGAGACACAACAACTGGTTCCCCAAAAGTCAATTGATGCAATAAACAACAATAAGCAAGATCCAGTGAAAATCCAGAAGCTCGTTGTGAATAAACGAACATCAAAAATTGAGATCCAAAAGATTGAAAAGGTGAATTTAGAGATTAATGATTTAATTAAGGCAACACAAAGTGAACCAGTCAAGACTGGATTACATACGAAAATAAGAGAAGCATCACCAAAACCAATAAATAGATCACCATTAAGAATTATTGAAGATGAAATTCCAGAATTGCCTGAAATTGAAGCTTGTTTCACAATGCCTGCCATTAGAGAAAGTGACATTATAGTCCAGGAACTTATTCTAAACGATCATCCATGCTCATCAAAGTCAATGTGCTTAAATTTCCAACCAAAAAGCACTGAAGATAAAAAAGAAGAAAAATCTTTAGAAAATGTGAGTAAAGATGATGAAATGATCAATAATATGTCGGAAGAAGAAGATGAGGGAGAATTAATGGATATAGGAGATGCAGCATGGTTACATGACATCAATGTTATGATTGGCAAGCCTCGAATACAAGAGATTGACCAAAGTTTGAAGAAAATTCCAACAACAGTAACCGGCAATAGAATACAGACAGAAAATGTGGAACTTAAACTCATTATAAACCACTTGCTTGGCAAATTAAAAGCAAAATCAGTCATTGAGACGGTACAAGAGTCCTCGTCATCGTTTTTCAATAATGTTAAAGGTAATGAACTACTATCATATTTACTATGCAATGAAATAACGAAATTAATAATTTTTAGATTCAGAAGTAGAATACTCGGATAGTTTTGATGACATGCCAACCGATTTCGATGATGAGCCGAGTGATGTAGACAGCACCAAGCAGACAGAAGTTTCAACAGTAAAAACTGAAATATCAGTTGATCAGAACTCGTTTTCAGTACCTGTAGAAAATAGTGTAGCAATTATAACTATTCCAACAATCAGTGAAATCTATGTAAAGCCATCCACAACAATTGAGGCAGTGAAAAATGAAGTAAAAAGTAGTGTTGAAATTAATGTTCCAGTTGTAGTTGAAGAAACTGCAAATATCAATATACAGCCAACAAAGAAGCGTAGAGGACGACAGCCAATAGCCGCATCAACAGCTAAAAAAACGAAATTGTCTCCAACAAAAAGTATAAAGGAAGAATCAAGTCCACGTAGATACAATCTAAGAATTTCATCGTCGCGAGAATCTAGTGTAGAATCAAATAAAGATGCAAGCATAACAAAATCAGTGACATTGCCAGTACGCAGAGATTCATTAGTAACACGACGAAATTCAACGATGCGTGAAAATGTGGTGAAACCAATTGTCGAAAAGGATGCAGAAACAAAAATTAAAGCTACAAATAAAAAGGTAACTAGAGTCCAAGAACTTAAAGGTAATAAAAAAGAATCTAGTGCAATGTTAAAACGATCTGTGACATCGTCAGAGTCGTCATTATCATCGGACAGTGAAATTGAAAAGAAAGGAAGAAGCAGACCACAACGAAAGGCAAAAATTCAAAAAGAATCATCGCAAAAGATTACAAATTTTTTCAAGGCAGAATCTGTCATAGTCACAGAAACAATTGATGCTACTTCGAATATTAAAAAATCATCTAGTGAAAATTCATCGAATGAAAAGTCGCCAATTAATGGACGTAGAATGTCCAAAACTTATTTAAAACGTAAGATTTTATATGACAGTGATACCGACTCTGATAGTGCACCTCTTGTGAATTATAATAAGCAAAGTGAATTGAAATCAGTCACATCGAATGATTTCAATCCACAAATACAGTCTTCTATACTCGAACGATATGATTACCTTAATAAACCTTCATCATCCTTCGCAGATCAACCAAAAAACGAAAAGAATGTGATATCCAGCCATCAAATTTGTGCCGATTTAAAAGATATTGTGGATAAGAGTAAAGATTTGGATCCAACTTATTTGAAGCCACCAGATACTACTAAACGACCATATCTTAAGACATCTGCATTTAAAGGTAATCATATTAATTCTGACGACTCTTCTAATCACACAGATTCAAGCACTAAACAGCTGTCAGTTTCTTGTGATGATTCATCTATCATTAATAACGCTAATGATACTGATATTAAGAAAAATGGGCTTCAAAATGCCAACAATTTAGGAATTAAGGATAGAATGAAAGAATTAATTAAGAAACAAAAAGAAAAAATTAATTCCGTTCCTAAATCGAATGAAGTTTCTATTACTATAGATCCAGTTTCATCGCAAAATATTATTAAAGAGGAAATAAGTAATAAACAAATTAAGAAGAAAAAACCAGAGTCGGAAAATAAAATAAATATCAATCAGAGAGGACCTAGACGAAAAGTTGATGTAGACGAAACAATTAGGAAAATTTTCGAGCAGGAAGAATTAGAAAAACCAATTGAAAAATTAGTTTGTTATAAGGAAATTCTGGAAGCAATTCGTATAACAGATCCATCAAGAAAGAATGGCAGAGCATCGAGTGCAATTAAACCTTTAGAATTGGCTAAAAAACGTGAATTAGAGAAACAACTTGAATGTTTAAAACATTTTAAATGCGGTAATTGTAATAATCTAGTCACCAAACATAAATGGAAGGAGCATCTTATAGATCATGGCGGCATGGCATGGATTGAAACATTTGAATCACCTATTGATATTAAGGACTGGAATGAATCAGTTCGTAGATTAAATAATTATATGAGAATATACAAATTAGAAAGTTTTCGATGTCCAAATTGTGGATATGACAAGAAATCGGCATTAGGACATTTATCACACATTTATATTTGTGGAGAGAGTGAAGAGACAATAGAAGATCGTAAATATGCATGTGAATTTTGTAGTGAAAAAGTCTTGCCTTATAACATGTCATGGCACAAACGGAAATGTACAGTAATTAATAATAAAGTTAAAACAAATGCTGATGATGGAGACGACGAGGAAGAGCATGATGATGAAAATAGTAGAAGCTCATCGACGCAAGACGGTGGACGAGCAAAGCGTAAAGCAGGCAAAAAGTAATATTCACTTTAATTCATTTTATTCTAATTCAAATTTGTTCAGTAAACTCAAAGTTCATTTTAATTCAGTTCAATTTAAATTTCAAAAGTTCGTTAAAATTTGAATTTTAAAAAGTCTTTGTATCTTCAAGAAACGATTTTTGAAGCATGAATGAAACACATTTTTAACATGATTAAATTAATTTTGTAAATTTTTTTCTTCTTGCAGTGCCGTTAGGAAAGTAAAATCATTCCTGAAAGAACTTAATGAAGATCCAATGGATCAGATATTGGCAACAGTAAATGGCCAATTCATATGTAATCATTGTGGTGAGAAATTTGATGTGAAGGAAAAGGCGATTGAACATTTAGATAAGGCTCATGCTGATCAAAAAGAAGGTGTGGATTTTGAAGCATCTAGCTCAGATGCTAGCTTAAATGAGAATGAATCATCTGAAACTGAGGGCAGTTCAGGTGTTGAATCTAGTGATGTACAGTCCGCGAATGAAGTGGAAGAACCTGATAATGAAATGTCTGAATCTATTAATGTTTCCAATTCTAAAGGACGCAAATCATACAACGATTCTCAGGAAATTAAGAACGGACGAAGAGTAATTGGACCATATGCTGAGTCGTATCATAGTGTTAGAATCTCCACCAGAACCATCAAATTGACAAAAGAATTGTAAGTTGTGTCATTCATTTTGTCGAATCTATCTATAAGTTATTCTAATTCAAATTTTATTGTATTTTCACGATCAGCATCAATGATAATTTATGTGATATATTAACTGAATTTACACCAAAGTACAAAATTTGTGTAAGCGCCAACTTAGCCTCATATTTAATGGATTTAAAAATTGATACAAAATCAATGAAATTCACTACTAGCCTGAAAGACGACTATTGTCTTGAGTATGGAAAAATCCCCAATCAAGAATGGAATCAACTTGATTTTGGAAATTGCCATGCTGATAAAAATTCACTCACATTATTTTGTGGTGGCTCAGTATCATCATTAGACTGGTCTCAATCAAAAGACGGAACAGATTTTTTAGCTGTTGCATGTAATAGCACGAAGGAAAAGAATACGGATTTAGAGGAGACATCAAAAACATTCATTCAAGTCTATCAGTTCGAAAACCTAGTCAATGAAAAGTAAGTTTCATTTGAATTTTTGAAAACCGTTAAAATTTGAATTTTAAAAAACCGTTAAATTTATTCTTCCAGATTCACATCATTCACAAACACATCAAAGTTCCTGTACTTCTTCACAATAACAGAAGGACCTGTTTGGTCGATAAAGTTTCATCCATTCGTCGTACCAAATAATGAGCGAATTGGTTTATTGGCTGTGACATCATCAAACCATCACATTTATGTTTATTCACTTCCGTACTTGAAAAATGATACAGACAGTCCTAAAATTATTTCATTAGAGCCTGCATTTACATGCAAGACAGTCAATGATGTTTGGTTGTTCCAAGATAAATATTTAATGCAAGCAACAGTCGTTAACTGGTTTTATCGAAAAGACTGTGACATGCAATTATTAGGAGCTGGATTTATCAATGGAATGCTATCAATTTGGAATTTTAGAGATGTAGAAAAATCTGAGCATCAAGACGCCATAATTTTGTTTCCATACATGTCATTTCAACCTCATCGCGAGTCTGTTACAGCATTAGACTTTAAGTATACGTTAGGATCAGATATTCATCTATTAACGACATCATTCGATCGTGATGTAAAGATTTTCATGCTTGAAAATACAAATTTCCAAGAAATTTCATCAAATTACTCAACATCGAGGATCTTGTGTGCTGAATGGTGGCAAAATTGGCCAGGATTTGTAACTGGAAATGATAATTGCTATTCACATGGGAATTTAGTTCATCGACAACCTTTAGAATTTGGTTCACGCCATAACTACCTCTTCTATTGCGTTTCGTCCGTAACCACATTGAGTGTCAATAATTGGCTTAATGTTGCTGTCTTTACAACTGATTCTGGAGATGTACTAATGTCAAATCCATCGCAACTGATGTCATGTCACCCAAAAGACAGATGGATGTATTTCGGCAATAATGTACTTTCATACACGGACATTGTCGATTTGAAGCCAAATAGCAATAAAGATGAGCATGGAATCGTATTTTGTGATTTAAAGGTAATTTGCAAAATTGGTGTAATTATTGGTTTGAGTCCCGGAAAATTGAGTCTATCATCATTACTCACTCTTTTAATTTCAAATTTATGAGAATATTTTGGATCTGATTGGTTTACAATTGATGAATGAAAATCATTTTTTGTAAACAAAATTGAAATTTCATTGCAAACTAATTAGGTATTTTAAAGAGGTTTCAAAACCGCGTGTAATGAACGACTATTACATATCTTAGAAGTGTTATGACTCGATTTTTTTAAAAACAGTTTAAACATGCTCAGAACTAATCAAATATTTATTTTTCTCCAACACAGGCAAGACTACCAAAGCGTCCGAAAGAATTTCGCAGTCCTCCATCAGACAACATCAATCAGCTGCAAATAAATCAAATTTCGTTCAATCGCAGTGAGATGAGTTATCGCTTTTATGCATTGGCATACGAAACTGGTTTCGTACGAATCAAGCATTTAAAGAATTCCAAATAGTTTTCTCCTGCACTTTCAACAATACCAAAATTTATTGATTTTCAGTTACTGCTCTTCTCGCTCTCCCGTTTTGAGTCTCATTACATTCACAAATTTTTTTAACATTAATATTTAACGCTACTACATATGAAGAAAGCTATGTGCTATGTAGCTAGCCACACACAATCTTGTTTAATTCATTCAGAAAAGAAAAACCTACATTCACTCTAAGAGAATTGGTAGGATGAGTTTGAATGTTAGGTACTTGTTATTAGTTAAGATGTTTTTTTTTGGTATTATTAATTAATTTTTAAACATTTTAATATAGTATGGATTATTGAAGAATTCAATGCAATAAACGATTAATGAAAAAGTATTTTTTTTTTTAAATTTAGCTGATTTTTGGTTTGCGGAATCAAGATCCAAAAAAAAGCATTAGATTATCACCGTGAAGTAGTTTCAAGTTCCATGATTCCTAGAGAGATCCAGCATGAATTTAAAGACCACAAGCGCACGACTTTTGAAATGTTTTTAAGATACGACCAAAACCTTAGCTTATTTGACATAGTATAGAATTAAGAAATTTAAGGTCAAGTTAAAATTGTAGCGCTTAAATGTTCTAGAAAAGTTATAAATCGCCGATTGACCAGATTAATGATCGACCCCAACATACATACATTGTAAGACATTCCAGTCTAAATCCCTGTCAACACTCACACAATGAAAATTAAAAGTGTTTCTTCTCTTCGCTTTTGTCTTCATTTATACGTTCGTACAAGTGAGCATTAAAGCATTTTTTTTACGGAGATCTCAGTGTACGAAAGCAAAGCAAAGCAACTGTAAATTTTTTCACGTTGATCGTCTCTCATTCGAAGTTTGGGCTTTGTCCATTTGAGTTCTGTTTTAGTCGGCTCCTCGGTGTTTCTTAGGCAGTGAAATTATTTTCTTTTAATTAATTTCCCTCTTATATATATTTTTTGTAACTTCATATCTCAATGTAAAGAAGAAGAAGGAAAAATTTCGTTAAATCTACTGTGAAGATGTGCTAATTTTCATATTATCAGTGCAAACATATTGAATTTGAATAAAAAAGAAGAAAAAAAGTTTAAAATTTATGTAGAAAAAAAATAAGAAGAAAGAAAAAGTGGAAATAGAAGTAAAAAAAATTTTTTTTTTATGATTGACACGAAGTGAATTAAAAAGGTTCAACGCGTAGTTAGGAAAGATACCCACATATATACATACAAGAAAAGGAATTTCATTACTAAGTGGATAAATTATAAAGATCAAAAATGCCGTGTTCAGCAGTAACATTATCACTTGCAACTGTACGTTTCATGTCAAATCATGTGATGACTCTTAATAGACGACAATTCAGTGCTGTTGGGGGGATTTTATTAGAATTTTTTGGATTGAATGTTGTAGTTATAAGTTTAAGGCTGATTCATGCAACATCATATAAATACTCAGTGAATTGTGGTCCATGACTGCATTGCTAGGTGTAAAAATGCAAAATATTGATGAGTAATCGATATTAGACATGCCAAGGAGGGGATTAGTGAACAAAAAAGCTACCTTTGAGTTATAATGAATTTAATTGAATGCCTGATATTTAAAAATTAGGAAATACTTTAAGTTAATTTTTGGATACTCTACAGATCTCCATTCAACTTTAATTAATTTTTTTAAGTGCTCTAAAGATCCAAAGTCCAAAATTAATATTTTATTGATTTCTATTGGATCTTATTCTAGTTTCAGTGGTGTAGCCACATTCCTACTTATGTTTTCTTAACATTAATATTGAGCTAGTCTGAAAACCTTAAAAACATTTTTCAAGTCAATTTTAGTTCCAAAAAATGGGTGGCTGTCTCTCACAGGTGTAATCATATTCTATGCTTCAAAACCTGACTAGTCGATCAAAGAAATTCAGCTTCTATATCAAGTCTAAAACATCAATTGATAATACAGCAACAAACAAGACAATCAACTCCAACATCCACGTGAAAAAAATTCTAATAAAAACCATTCCTAATCAAGGGCACAATTCAAAGAAGATCTCCGTTCCAATGCTCATAATTTTCTTTCCTTTCTCCTCTCTATAGGTAATATCAATCGTATCAGTTGCATTATTAGCCATTGCATTCTCAACAGACAATTGGCTGAGTTATGAAGTAAAGCGGAAAAATATTATGGTAATTATGTGATAACATCCATTCCGTCTCATTACAATTTGCATCATTTTAAAAAATTATTAGATCAGTGATTTAGTTATTTCAAAGTGCATTGAATTTTTATATGCTGTTGGTTGTTGATTATGCACTCTTAAGAGACTATCCGTCCGTCTCCATTTTGTGTTATTCTTTTATTTTCTTTCTTCAATTCATCGCTTCTCATTATACCACACCACTGTTTCTTTTCTCTTTTACAACTTGCGCGATTGTTGCTGTTATTGCTGGCTTTTTTTTTCTTTCTTCATTTCGTTGGGACACAACGAGTTTGTAAGACGAAGAAGAAGAGAATGAAAAAAATATCATCAAATTCCTCCGGATGATCTAAAAGCTATAAGGCAGGTCTTTTTTCAAGCCTCAATTTTAGAGATGAACGAATATTTATGAACTCATTATTTGTCTTTACGTCTGTTCATTTTAATGACTGGATTTTCCAAAAAATTCCTTAAATTTTTTACCTAAATTTTCAATATTAAGCTCATTAATTCTTTGGCACACTCTCACTGGAGGTGCTTAAATGCATATAAACACGATTCGGGGACATTGACACAAATTTTGAGGCACACAAGATTCTCTTTTTTTTTTGTACATTTATCATATATAATGCAAAAATGTGTACGTACGATAATAGTGAAATTCAGGTTATCAAGATGGCATTTAATGAGGGAGAGAATCTTCAATAGCTTTAACTATTACTCGTACAGCACACTCTAGTAAATCGGTATGCTACGTCAAGCTGCATTAGAAAATTACTACGTCTTTGTAGAGGATTTGCTTTTAACTTTGTTGCCTTGGTAGTCCTCTTGCCTTAAAGGAACCAAATTCAACCGCATAATTCCAGTAAACATGCATCATTAAAGTTAGATTCGAACCTTCTAAATATAAGAACATCGTCATCTTGTTTACTATCTTGACTATTTGGACTAATTCGGTAATCTGAATCCTTAAATCACTATTTGATTTTATCCATGACTGACTCGCATCCATCAACACTTTCTCGAGATTCTTAAACAATCGCAACTCAAGTATTTTCATTACTTTCATCCAAAGTATCTTAAGCCGTAACAAATCCTTCAAATTCTAAATCAACAGCCTCAAAATGCGCCTCCATCTACAAACCTCACATACTCTCCATCATTCGTCTTAATGAGCGATAGGCAGGCACAGAATATCAACAGAAAAGCAGTTCAGGAATGTAGTGTAATTTACGATATCCAAACCTTAAATAAATCTATTCCGTATATTCGTTATGGCTGCTCACAATAGAGTTGTACATACAATTTCTTATATGTTTTGGCTTTCGAGAACGTGACGAATTACAAAAAAATAAGTTCTATAATTCTACCTGCTACATGACTATACATGTATGGAAGTACTGTGCTTCAGTATCAGAAATTTAAAGACCTTGGGAATTTTTTTTTCGCTCTCTTCTGTCTTTTGTCTATTTTCTTTAAAAGGAATGCCAAAAAAATATGGGATGTTGTGCTTAAATGTGTTGTGGATTAAAAGATTCTCAAAAAAAGTGTGATTTTCAACAATAAAAGATATTTACTTCCACATCTGTGCATGATGGTCAAGAAGTCTTTATTGGAGCATGATGATGCATTGGTCCACATGGAATTCCTTAGGTCAGCAAGAGTACAAAAGCTAAAAATCAAGGATTATAAATCGAAATTTATGTCAAATGATGTAGAAATTGCTGGAGCTAAAATTTATAATAGCTTACCGAATGAATTGAGAACTATAGAGTCGTTGAACGTATTTAAGTCAAGATTAAAATCCTTCCTCCTATCTAAAAGTGGATCTTTGTCGTCAATTCAGCAACTTTACACAAAAAACTTAATTATTTAAAAAAAAATTTATTTACTTACAAATGAACAAATATTTTTCAAAAAAAACCGTTAAACGTTAGCCAAGACACATTCTTCAATCAGAATTCAAAATCTTCAGGACAGTTATGGCTTTATCTATGCGTTTTAAGTGATGTTTACAGCAGTTATCTTACGTGCAAGTGGCGATACTTTATCAACTATAGCCTTTTCGCAATTATCGGAATTAGTTTGATTATTTTGTTGTGTAATTTACTAGAAGAATGGATAGAAGTGAAATATTGGACCTTATGGACTCGGCTACTCTCCAAGCTATTAAGACACTCACAACCAAAAGAGCAATGATGAAGACTAAGTTTTTCGTAATTGAAAATGTTCCGCATGTGCTGTCTATTCAAAAGATTGTTTCGTATCTAAGATCTCATGGTAATCTAAACTTCATATTCTTCATTCACAAGCGTTTAGTGGAGGATGTCAATAACTGTAGCAATTGGATTATTGGATGCAGAAACAGCAACGAATTTTCACAATTCCTCTGGAACTTCAAGGAAATTTCTATAGACGGAAATATTTTGTCTATTAATCCAGCAAAGAAGGATTTGGAAGTTAGACATGCAGTACTAAATGACTCATTGATCGACCTTCCGTCTAGTCTTTTCAAGATGAAGTCTTCATTACAATATAATAAGTTCTTCCCTTCAGAGAGAATGATGGAGATTTTGATAGAGTGCGATACAAATGGACTCTTAAACTTGGTGGATGGGATTTTATTGAATTACAAGCATGCGATAAAAATGTTGGATGACGAAATTTTTGTCTCTACATACAACCAAAATGGAATTAGTACACTACAATCAATGCTCAAAAGCACGGGAAACAGGAATATTAATTTAAAGGATGGTGGATTTTTTCTTATGGAAAAATCAATATGGTGTAGACAGACAGCAATAGCACGAGCAGATGATAATTATCTTTTCCAAATCAGTCCAGATGTTATCCAGAATAATATCATCACCAATGGCCTAGATTTTAATAGCATTAGGAATTCATTGCTATAAATTTTATTGGTATTCTGCTTTATTCTGTTAATCTGTCAAAGTATTTTTTTTCTCTCTCTCTCTATTAAAATTTTGATATTCTGTATTATTCTATTTTGTTATTACAATCCAATAAAATGCGTTTATTACGCTTTTAAATGAAAAAAAAAAAAAAAAACATCTATGTGAAAATAAATTCAATAACATTCTGTGAAGATTGACTTTACAGTCTGTAAGATAATTAATAATGTACATAAAGATTTGTTCATATCTCATTGAGAATTTTCTATGGGAATTTTCGTTAACGATCATTTCCGATTGCATAAAAAATTCAGTGTCATATTCAGGCAATCAATACTAATAGCTTGAAGTTCATTTAGAGAGTGAAATTGTAATTTTCAAGTATGTGCTCGATTGAATATTGATTATTGGTTTTCCTGGAATTGTTTTTGACAGTTGAGCATCAATAAAAATTTATTTGAGATGACTGGATTGGACCGAACTTGGACGTGCTAATGAAACGTGATCTGTTTAAACTTTTCATTCAGAAATTCGAGTAGAAAGTGTTTTTGTAAAGTTTTATGGATTTTAAATCGTGTGCTAAATAAGATTTGTCGAATGGTGCTACACATGCTTTAGAGTCATTCAAACTTGACACTGAATTGTTGAGAATTTAAATATTGTTCTGTCAAATTTGTTAAAATTCTCGATTTAAATGAAAATTCTTCAAATAATGCTCAAGTTTGAGGTTAAACAATTTTGACATCCATGATTAAGGGATTCTGAAGCTATGACATCTTTAAAAATATTGTACAATGAAGTCTCAACATTAACCGAGTTTAAAAGCATTAAAAATCTCCCCAACCTGATCCAATCAAACATTTTATATAGCCACACAAACAAAAAAACATTTCAAGTATCAAGTTTAAATAGTTGATTGATAATAACCAGTTCCATTACAATAATGCTCACCACATTGTGATTTTACTATTACTTGCATTTATCGTGTCTAATACTGACGACAAACGGGAAATTCCTGGTTCATTACAATTTAATTTGCAAATGAGTTTGTATATAGTAGCAAGTAGATAAGCAGTCTTGTCAGTTAACTTTCAAGTATTAATGTGATTACTTTAATGATTGTTTGATTATGATTGTGGAATGTGGTGGATGATGAGGAATGAGAGGAGGTTTAATTGATATGGAAGTTATGTAGAATGACTTAGATTAAGTTGAATTCTAAAACAAAACATTCGAAGATTGATTATTTTATAACTAGAAGATTATTCTAATTCTACAGAATCTTAAAATTTGTGATATTTGTGCCTAATTGCCAACTCGACTAACCTCAGTAGATTAACTGATCAAATCTTGAACATTATCTGTGGTTCCATATCAATCTCCGATGAATCTAAAATTAACCGATATACGATCCAAATTATGATTAATACCACAAGAATATCACATGTTGTACATGTGCTATCCAGCGCAAATGGATACTGTAATTAAATTAAATTAAAACAAGTCAATTAAATCCTATCAAGCATCTTTAATTCCTAAAACTAGTCAAGTCTTTAAACATTCTCTGAAAAATCATAAAAAGAATCCTCATTTTGGATATAAATTAAGTCTGTCAATAAAATAGCTCTTCCAAAATTATAGTGTCCCTTTAGATGACTCTAAAGTTTTACTACCTCTGGCTATAAATTAATGAAACATAAAATTATATATTTCTCTGTAAAACTTCCTAAATCAATTAGATATTTCATTAAGGAGATGATCTATAATGATTTATAAGACCAAACATTAAGGATTTTATGGACAATATTTTCCTATCATAACGAAAGCTATAAAAAAAATCTAAAATTCTTGACAAACCGGATTGAAGTTTTTATAGTCAATCAAATATTTAAAGTTTCTTACGGTGAAACATTTTTGTCGATTCCATTTCAAGAAAAGAGCAGAATGGAACTTTGCTGTATTTTTTTCTATATATTATTGTTTTTTTTTTGCAAGCCACAGAAATAGTTACAGTATGACATATACAATATTTTTGCTTATATTCGACATATTACCAATAAAAGAATGCTTAACACTC